GTCCTCAATCCCCCCTCCATAGGTCACCCCATCCCCAGCACCACGGCTGGGGGCACCCATGGGTGTCACCCTACCTGTGCTGGGAGAGGGCAAAGCTGCTGCCCAGTATCCCAACTGGGAGGAGACGAAAGTCCAGTAGAGCTGCCGGCCTTCCTTACGGATCAGCCCCGTCCCATTACGGACCCACAGCCCTGCAGGGACACACACCCACCCCCCACAGCGGGCTGAGACACCCAAACTTATCACACACCCCCACACCCCCATCCAGCGCCAGGTCAATCCCTGCCACCCCCTTCAAGCAGCACTCACCGCTCTTGGGGTCGAACCTCCAGGCTGGCACGCTGGTGGCCACCACGGGGGCAGCGTCGGCAGCCAAGGGGACACAGAGCTCTATGGGGCCGGCCAGCGGCACCTCGGTCCCGTTGCCAGTGAAGAGGTGGACACTGAGGGCCACCACAGGCGCCAGCTCCAGCCAGGTGGCATTGGCTGAGGGGACAAGGGATGCTCACACGGGGGGACCTCACGGTCCTGCCCCCCCCCCAATCCCCTGGTGCCCCCCCCCCCCGTACCAGTGCTGTCCTGCTCGGACCCCAGGAAGGCCGGGAAGGCGCGGGCGAGGCCGGGGCCAGAGGCTGCGGTGAGGGACGCGCCGAGCTGGCTGTAGGTGGAGCTGCGGGGCAGGCGTGCTGCCCGGCGGGGGAACTGCGCCCACGGCTGCCCACGGCCACCTTGAGGACACACAAGGTGGGTGGCAGCACCCAGGGGTGATAGGTGACATCCCTGTACCTCCAGCACCAGCGCTCACCTGGGGAGCCCAGGAGGATCTGCACCAGGTCCTCGTACAGGATGAGGGTGGCCGGGCGCTCCGGGAGCAGGTAGAGGCTAATGGAGGCGTAGACTGCAAGGAGGGGGGTGATTGGGACCCCCAACACATCCCATATATACCCCCATCCCTGTACCTCCATCCTTGTGCACCCCCATCCATATGCACCACATCACTGCACCCCACATCACTGCACCCCACATCCCTGCACCCCCATCTTGTGCATCCCCATCCCTGCACCCCAATCCCTGTGCACCCCATCCCTGTGCACCCTGTCACTGCACCCCAGATCCCTGCACCCCCATCCCTGTGCACCCTGTCACTGCACCCCACATCCCTGCACCCCAATCCCTGTGCACCCCCATCCCTTCACCCCCATCCCTGTGCAGACCCATCCCTGTGCACCCCATCCCTCTAACTCCATCTCTCTAGGGCCCCATCCCTGCATCCCACCCCTGCTCCCCCATGAGCGCTCCCACGTGTCCCCCCACAGCAAGGTGACCCTATCGATGTCAGTCCGCGCCTCCCCCTGCCTTACTGGCCCTGGGGAAAAGGGCTGGAGCCCAGCCCCGCCTCAGCATGGGGACTCTTTGGGGGCACCAGGACACAGCCACACTCTTCCAAAGGGGCCAGACCCCCCCCAAACACCTTTCCATGAGGGACCCCTTATCCCAAAATCCCTTTGGGGTCCCCATTAAGGGACCAGGAAAGACTGGGATCCCCAGGAAGGAACTAGGGCTTCTCCATATGAGCCACCCAGTGAGGCACTGGGGTCCCCAAAGAGTGTCCAGAGCCCCCTCCAATAGAGGACTGTGCCCCCCCCCACTGGGGTCCCCTGTGAGTGTTCTCAGCCCCCCAGTAAAGATCCGGGGTCTCCATCAACCCCAGACCCCCCCATACAGCGCTCGGGACCCGCACGAGGCCGCGGGCACTCACGTGGCAGCTTGTGGACGCGCCAAGGCACAGAGGCGGTGACGTGGCCGCGGCGGGCAGCGGTGACCAGCAGCCAGGAGCCCAGGCGGTAGGACACAGGCAGCGTGGCGCAGCCCTCGTGGTCGGTGGCACCCGCTGCCAGCGAGCTGCGGTTGCTCAGCACCTCCAGCGCGGCCTGAGCCAGCGGCACCAGCGTCCCGCTCTCGTACACCTGCACCCGCAGCACCACCTCTGCGGGACACGGGCACGTGTGGGAACGGAGCCCCCCGGAGCACGGCACCACCCCACCACCCATCCTGCTGGACCACAGACATCGTCCCAGCACGTGGTAGGACCCATTCCCAGCGCAATGGTATGACCCATCAGAGTGGACCATGGTCACCACCCCGGTTTGTGGGATAGGCATCATTCCAGCAGCATGGTAGGGCTCAGAATGGTGGGACCCATCTTCTTGGGTCATAGGCACCATCCCAGCAGGTGGTGGGACCTATTCCCAGCAGAATGGTGGGACTCATCCCAGCAAGTCATGGCCACCACCTTCGCGGGTCATGGGCACCATCCTGGCAGGGAGGTGTGACCTATCTCCCCAGAGATGGGTCCCACTATTCTGCTGATGCAGGTCCCACCACCCTCCTGGGATGATGGCCATGACCCACCAGGGTGGCGGGACCCGTATCAGTGGAATACTGGGATTCATCCTAGTGGGTCATGGCCACCGTGCTGGTGTGTCAGGGGCTCTACCCCACTGAGGTCACTGGTGCCATCCTAGCAGGCAGCAGGCCCCTCGCTGGCAGGTTTGTGTCACCATCCTTGCAGGCATCACCTCTGGGCCCACCCTGTGCCCCCCCTTGAAGCAGGTGGACTGGGTCACTGCTGTGCCCACAAGTGGGTGCACCCAGTCATGTCCCCCCCACTCCCCCCCACCCGAGCCCACCCAGGCCCATTCCCCCCCCACTCAGGGTACAACTCACACGTGTCACAAGCTCAGGGGGCCAGGTCCCCCAGGGCAGTTCCGGGTGCAGGGCGGGGGGGGGGGGGGGGGGCACTGCTGGGGGAGGGACCCTGCACCCCCCGTGCCCCCCCCCCCGTGCTGGCACCATCCTGCGCATGATCCCAGCACATCCCTGGCATCTGGCCCAGCTCCGGCACCATCACCCTGGCAACGACCTCCTTCATCCCATGGCCCCAGGCACTTCCGGGACCCTGTGTCCCCCCAGCAGCATCCTGCACCCCCAAACCCCTCCACACCACTGGGCAACCCCACCCCTATCCTGCCCCCCTCAGCCCAGATGTTGCCCAGATGTGGTGATGGGTGGAATTTGCAGCAGCTGCTTTGGCGATGCGCTGGGGGGGTTGGACAGGGGGGGTGTCCCCACACAGCAGGGACAGCCGGGGGCCAGGAATGTCCTCATGACCACACGCAGCCACCCACAGCTGCCCAGGGACAGCCGGCACCAGCGGCCACCCCACTGATGTTCCTTAGAGCATGGGGGGCACGGACACAGCCTCTCCTCTCCCTGCTCTCTGTCCCCCCCCGCCATTGCCAAGGGAACCCCAGAGGGTGGCACAGCCACCACGGGGCATGCTGGCCCCCCAGCACCTCCCAGTATGACCCCACGGTGCCATGATGGGGGGCGCTGGTGCCCTGCACCCTGTCACCGAGGCCACCCCATAGGGACGGGTGACGCCACCGGAGAGCTGAGCCAACACCGGCAGGATGGGGCCAGGGCCGTGCCGGGTCAGGGAGCTCCTGACCCCACTGACACTACCTCGCCCCCCAGCACACCTCGAGGAGGGTTTGGGGTGCAGGCACGGGTCATGGGGAGCTACAGGGACCCCAAAGAGCGATGCTGCATCCCCCGGCCCACCCTGCAATAGGGTAACACCCACACCCAGCCCCCCAGTCCTGCACCCCCGGGTGCTGCTCAGGACCCCCCCACACCCATCATCCTGCACTCCCAAGCCCTGTCCACACCCCCACCCACCATCATGCACCCCTTCACCCGGACCTCCACCCGATCTCCTGCACCCCCAAGCTCTGCCCAGCACTCCCACACACACCATGTTACACCCCTGGCATTGCTCAAGGACTCCCCCCACCCTCCTGCACCCCTAATCTCTACTTATGCCCCCCCAGCCACCGTCATGCACCCCATGGCCTAAGACCCCTCCAACCCTCCTGCACCTCCAATCTCTGCCTACGACCCCCCCCACCATCATGCACCCCATCATCACGGTCCCCCCCCATCATGCACCCCATCACCAGCCCCCCACACACACCCTCCTGCACCCCCAATCTCCATCCACGAGCCCCCCTCCCCATCTCTACGCCTGGCACTGCCCAACACCCCCCACACACACCCCCTCCTGCACCCCTGCTCCCCCCCCCCCAGCCCTCCCTATGCCGGTGGCCGGAACCGGGCGGACAGCGGGGGGGGCAGACAGACAGAGGGACAGACGGACGGAGAGCGGGGGCCGGGGGGGGGGGTCGGGCGGGCGGGGATGGGGCCGGGGCCGCCGCACACAAAGGCCGCTCTCACCGTGCGCTCCCGGCTCCGCCGCGCCCCGCGCCCGCCGCCCGCCCGCGGCCACCAGCAGCAGCAGCACCGGCAGCGGCGGCAGGAGGCGGCGGGGCCGCATGGTCGCTCCGCGCCGTTACCCCGCCATGCCCGGCCCGCCCGGCCCGGCCCGCTCCGCCCGCCGCCGCCGCCGCGGGGACCGGGCTCCACCTGCCGGAGCCGCCGGGCACGGCCGCAGCCCCGGTACCGGCACCGCCCCCGGCACCGCCCCGGACCCCCGCAGCATCCCCGGCACCGGCCCTCGGCACCGGCGTCGCGGCACTGACCCCGGTACCGGCACCGAGGGACTGACCCCGGGAGAAGCACAGGCACCGCAGGACTGACCCCAGTACCGGCACCGGTGTCGGGGGACTGACCCCGGTACCTGCACCGGCATCACGGGACTGATCCCGGTACCGTCACCAGCACCGCGGCACCGACCCCGGGAGAGGCACCGGCACCAGCACCACGGGACTGACCCTAGCACCGCCCTGAGCCCAGGACCAGGACTCGGTACCGCCATGGCCCCATCGAGGTTGTCCCCGGTACCGGCCCTCACCCGCCAGCTTCCCCTCCACCACAGCCCTGGCACCCACCCAGTATCAGCCCCTCCCACCCCATCGCACCCTATGCCAGGCCTGTGCAGGTTCACAGGAGCATCCTGGAGCACCCCACGGGAAGCCCCATGATGCCAGGCAGAGATTTATTGCCCGGGGGCAGTGTGGGGGTGCTGGGGACAGGTAGGAAGGGGGGTCCCGGGGTACCCCATTAGTCCTGGGCACCCCCTAACTCCTCAGCCTTGCTGGGCGCCAGCTCCTGCGTGTCCTCAGCAGGCGGCCGTGTTCTCTTGAAGAAACCCATCTGGAAGAGGGACATGGTGACAGCCACGGTGTCACCCCAGGGACCCCAGTGTCACACCCGGGGAACCCCACATCATCACCTCAGGGGACACCCAGTGTCACCCTCGGGGACCCCAGCCTCACACCCAGGATCCCTCCAGCACCATTGGGTCCCCACTGCCATGGAGGGGTGTCACCAGAGTCGGCAGCGTCCCTGCTGCCCACTCACCTTCCACATGAGGAGAATGAGGAGGGTGAGGAGCAGGAGCCCGGCAAGGACCCCCAGCACCACCCATGACACCGGCACCGTCCCCTCACCGCCAGGGCTGGTGCGCATCACCTTGGTGACAGCCTGCAAAGGGACAGGGGGTGACACCGCTGACACCTCCACCGGGCCCTGTGTCCCCTGTGCCTGTGCCAGCCCTACCATGGCCTCCCCGGAGGGCAGGATACGGGGCTGGACTCGGTAGGGCATGGCTAAGGTGTTGAACCAAGCCTGTGACTGGACGAGGAACTGCTTCAGAAGGTGCTCCCGCTGGGGACAGACATGGGACACATGGGGGACACATGGGGACACACTGGGACACGGCACAGGGGTGATAGCACCCATCAACCCTGCACCCAGCATCCCCTGGGCTGCTCTCATCAGGTCCCCGGGGACCACGGTGCAGGAGGGGACGTGGTGGGGACACCCCAGGACACAGTGCCTCCCCAGTCCCCTGCTGCAGACAATACCTGCTGCAGAGTGTCCATCCAGAGCAGCGCATGGATGCTCACCAGCGCCCGCTGGTCTTTGGCCAGGCCAGGCACCCAGCAGGTGATGTCCACACACGTGGCATTGCCGCAGTCCTATGGGACACAGCGGGTGTCACCCTGACCCCCACCCCAGAGTCACCCACCCCCAGCACCCATCCTGGGCTGCAGCCCCCCGGCAGTGCCCGCTCACCACCAGGATGGGCTTTTCCAGCCCCTCTCCCGGCGGCTGCTCCAGGTCCCGGCGCTCCCTCCGGTGTGAGCCATTCCGGGGTGCTGCGCCCGTGGGATGGGGGATCTCCAGCTGGAAGGAGATAAAGGGAACACGGACACCCCCCCCACACCTTGACACCCACCCAGCCCCCAGTGGGAGACACTGGTCCCCACCCCGGGGCCATCCTACCTGCTCAGCATTGAGGCCGGGGGGGCTGGTGCAGTTCATGCCCCCCTCAGTGCCCAGCTCCAGCAGGTACAGCAGGATGCGGCCCCCCAGCCGGATGGGGATGGCGAGGTGCAGGGTGACCCCACTGACGGTGCTGGGACCTTTGTTGTGGAGCTGTGGAGGACCGTGAGGTGGCACCGGGGAGGGGGCAGGTCCCAGGGGCCCATGGGTGCAGCACCTACCTGGTAGACGTGCTCCACCTTGATGCCATGGTCCTCGAGCCGCCGGCTGCCCTCGGCCCAGCGCCAGCTCACGGGCAGCACCGTGGTGGCCGGTAGGGAGTTGCTGGCAGAGGAAGGGGGTCAGTGTCCTTCTGTGTCACCCCCAGCCTCCCATGTCCCCCTCAACCCTCACCCTCGCAGCTCCATCTCTGCCTGTGCCTCCACAGGCACCATCACTGTCACCGATGTGTTGGTGGTGCTGGGGCTGTTCTTGCTGCAGGGATACAGTGGGGTGAGGGATGGAGCTTAGCTTGGGGACACGCTGAGGCCACCAAGTCCTGAGTGGCCAGGTCCCAGCAGTGGGCAGAGGAGAGGAGGACAAGGGGACAGGGGTACGGGGCACCATCATAGTGTCACCTCCGCAGCTGCAGCTGGAAGGTGATGGCATCCCCCATGTCCTCCAGCCCGGACACGCTCAGCTCCATGTCCACAGTTATCTGCAGGCAGCCGGGTGGTGTGTTGATGACCCAGCACCACCAGTTATGCCCAGCCCATGGGCTGAGTGATGGTCCGGGGGGGAGGGGGGGGTGACCCCACAGCCCCTTACCTGGGCACCTGCTTTCATGGGGTTGCCCAACTCACAGAGCACCATGTGGGTCCCGTTCTCCTTCCTGAGGTTGCAGCTCAGTTTCTCCTGCCCCTGTGGGGTGGGCACATGGAGAAGTGACACTCACAGACTCCTTGCCATGCACCAACCAGCCTGGGGATATGCACGGTCCAGGGTGCCCACCCTCAGTACCCATCACCACCAGGCACCCGCAAGAAGGGTGGTGGCCACCCATGGCAGGGTGTGAGCCCCCATCCCGGGCCCCTCCTGGCACCCACCGGGATGCTGCTCCGGGCAGCCTGATAGTGGGTGCCGGGGGGCAGCAGCACCCGCAGCTCAGCCTCAAAGGCGCCTTCGCCCCTGTTGCTGGTGTTGGCGCGAAGCAGCAGCATGGCCTCGGCCCCGATGAGCAGGCGCCGGCTGGGCCTAGGGGGGACACAGGGCTGCACACCCCGGGGCGATGCTGCACCCTCCCACCCACCCCAGCGCTCACGTCTCCGCGGCCAGAAGGAGGTCAGGGACGCAGAGGTTGTCCTCGCCACAGTCCTCCAGGATGATATGGGTCTGGGGAGGGGACAGGTGGGCAAGTGGGGGTCGTGGGATGGGGAGTCACTGGGGACTGACAAGGGAACTGGGACCGTGCTGGGGATAGCAGAGGATACTGGGGGACACCTCAAGGGAGGAACAGGGACGGGAGGGATTGGGAATGGTGAAGGGTAGAGAGGGGACAAGCTGGGGGGAATGTGTGTGACTGGGGATAGTGAGGAGTACAAAGGGGACATCCTGAGAGGGCCTGGGGACAGGGGAGGACACTGAATGGTACCCCAAAGAGGGAGCAGGGACTGAGGGGACATCCCAGGGAGGGCCTGGGGGCAGCAGGGTGAGCACGGAAGGCTGTGTCCCAGGGAGTGGTTGTCGACAGTGGGGGGGCCATGGGGACAACCCACAGAAGCACTGGGGACAGTGGGGAGGTCAGGGGCTGTGTCCCAGCCAGGGGCTGGGGACAGGGTGGGGGCTGGAGCATGGGGACGTGGCTCAGCTGTGTCCCCCCTACCTGCGCCTGCACCAGGGTGTCCCCATAGAGCACCAGCCCCGGGGCCCCCTCGGGCAGCGCCAGGCTCAGGCTCAGCACCACCGGGCTCAGCTTGTCCTTGAAGTCGGCCTCGTCCTGAGGGCACCCATGGGCACCCCAGTGAGCACCCAACGCACCCTGCCCCGGGACCCCCACCTGGTCAGGCTGGGGACACCACTGCCCACATCCCTGTCCCAACCCTGTCCCATCCCTGTCCCCATCTTGCCTGGGGATGCTCCTGTTTCCATCCCTGCTCCAATCTCAGCTGGAGCCGCCGCTGTCCCCATCCCTGACCCTTGTGCTGGGGATGTCCAATCACACACACCCCCCCCCGCCAGCCCCCGCCGTCCCCGTACCCGCAGGTACGCGGTGAGGTTGCGGCACACGGGGGGTGCTCCCGTGTCCAGCTCCAGCTCCTCGTGCCAGGACGCCTGGTGACCCCGCAGCAGCAGCACCCTCCGGGACAGCCGGGGCTTCAGCCGGTCCAGCTGCAGCTCGGCCTCGAGGCCTGGCACAGCGGGCAGAGGGGACCATGGCACCGGTGACACCCGAGCTGTGCCCCTTGTCCCCCCCGCTGGCGCCGGCACTCACGGATGTGCTGCGGGATGCTCTGGCCCGTCACGCTGACACAGAGCACCACGGGGAAGCTGCGAGGGGACAGCACCCAGGGCTGCTCAGGGACCTGCCCCGGGGCAATGTCCCCACAGCGGCCGTGTCCCCACCGCGGTGTCCCCAGGGCTCGGCTCACCAGCTGACACCGGTGCCGAAACCGGGCAGGACACACGCCAGGACCTCGGGGTTCAGCCCATCAGGGACGCTCAGCTGGGTCCGGGCCACCACCACGGGCTGTCCCCTGGGACACAGGGACAGAGCTGAGGTGCTGGGGACCGGGGCAGCGTTCCCTTTGGGCTGTGCCAGCACCGGAGCCGGCGCCACGGGCACTCACCGGTACACGGCCACTTGAGCTGCGCCGTAAGCGCCCACCAGCAGATCTGTGGGGACGAGCGGGGGTCGGTGAAGGGGCAGATGGCAGCGGGGGGCACTGGGGGACACGGCGCTGGGGACGTACCTGAGTAGCCGTTGCCATCGAGGTCGGTGGCCCCGCGCAGGGCGAAGCCGAAGGCGGCCGGGCCGGGGAAGGGGCTGTCGAGGCGCTGGGTGGGCAGCGGCTCCAACCCCTCGCTCTGCCCGCGGAAGATGAAGACCTGCCCGCTGCCACCGTCACCCCCGAAGGGGGCACCCACGGCCACGTCTGCAGACACAGCGGCCATGAGCGCCCCCGGCTGCCGCAGCTCCTACCTCTGTTCCCCCACTGCTTTAGACCGGGCACCGCGGGGGTCCCCTCGCAGCGCCCCCATCCCAGCCCCGTGCCGGGTGTCGTTACCGCCGAAGCCGTCCTTGTCCTGGTCTCCGAGGCTGGCGATGGCGGCGGCGAAGCGGCCGTAGGGGTGGGTGCCCGTCAGGGTCTGGGGGGACTGGGAGAGGGGCCGCTGCAGCCCCCCCAGGTACAGGTAGAGGCGCCCCAGCTCGCTGCGCTGTCCGTCGGGGCGCCGGGCCATGAACAGGGGGGCACCCACCAGCACGTCATCCTGCCTGCACCCAGTGCAAGGGTGAGGGGAGGGGGCCTCGGTTTGTGGTCTGGTGGCACCCAGGGGGTGCGAGGCAGGGGCAGCACCCATGGGTGCCCCTATGGAGGGGGGGGGGCAGTCCCAGCTCTCACCCATCCCCATTGATGTCGGCCACGGCCACTGTGTGCCCGAAGTACGATGCCACCTAGAAAGGGTCTGGGTGAGGCGAGGCACTGGGTGGGGGGTGGGGGCTCTCCACAGGCACTGCAGAGTGTGCTGGGTGATGGGAGGGGGGAATTCGGGTGCTGCGGGTACTAGGGTACCACAGGGTGCCTGGGCAGGGTGGCAGTGGGCAGCAGGGAGCCATGGGGTGCTGGTAGGGAGCAGCGATGCAAGACTGGGGGTCACTGGGGACAGGGTGCTGGGGGTGTCTGAGCTGTGGGGTGGGTGCAGGGTGTTTGGTACCTGCTCGCTGGTGATGCCCCGCAGCTGGCGCAGGGTCACTCCCACACTGAAGATCTCCACCTGCCCAGAGCAGTGTCAGGCCCTGGCCCCATTACAGGGGGGCACGTGGCGTGAATGGAACCATAGAAGCACAGAGTGGGTTGGAAGGGACCTGAAAGCTCCTCCAGTTCCAACCCCTGCCACGGGCAGGGACACCTTGCACTGGAGCAGCTTTCTCCAAGCCCCCAGTGTTCAAGCCTGGCCTTGAACACTGCTAGGGATGGGGCATTTACCACTTCCTTGGGCATGGCCTTGGTGGTGTCCCCCTCACTGGGCACCCACACCTGGCCCCACTCACCTCACCCCTCGTGTTGCTCTTGTTGGGGACCCCCACCACGTACTCTGCAGGGACAAGAGCTCTGAGTGCCCCATGGCACTGGGGTGAGCACAGGGACACCCCTGGTACTGGGGTGAGGTTGCCCAGGGCCCATTTGTTCACCCCCCAAGCACTACCTTTGGTTTTGGGATTGCCATCGAACTCGCCCACAGCCACAGAGTACCCTGCAGGGAGACGGGCACCGGTGACCCCCTGTGCCCCAGTTCTGGGGCTATGGGGCTGTCCCATGCTCACTGCTCACCCCGATACCCATCCTCGTAGTCAAAGGACACCGGCTCCTCTGTGGGGCGTCCTGGTTGCTCCAGCCACAGCAGGGACTTGCCGTGGAAGCGGGTGAGGATGGCATCGATTCCCACTGAGTACAGGAGCCCTGCGGGACATGGACATGGGGTGGCACCAGTGCTGATGGGGCACCTGCTGGCACTGGCCCTGGGCTCCCAGTGCTGCTGTGGATGGCACCTATTGGGGTGCCCCGTCCTGGGTGCCCTGATCTTGCTGTGCCCACCCAAAGGCAGGACTCACCCATGAAGTAGTACCCGCCGGGGGCACCCAGAACCAGTGTCCCATCCTGCAGGAGGAGCTGGTGTCAGCAGCTACACTGGAGCACCCCACTGCATCACCTCCTGCAGCATCTTTCCCCCCACCCAGCATCCCCAACCCAGTATCCCCATCTCAACACCCCCATCCCAACATTCCCAACCCAGCATTCCCATCCCAGCATCCCAACCCAGGTACCATCCCAGCCTCACCCTCTGTGTCCCCATGAGCATCCCTTGATCATCCCCAGGGTCACCCCGAGACCCTCAGCACCCATCTCACCCGGGTGACGGCTGCGCTGAAGCCGATCTCGCAGTACCGCTTGTCATAGGCTGTGGGCACCGGGCAGGGTCAGACCGACCACCGGCGGGGGGTACCCACCGCCCGCACCCCCGGCCCCACGCACCGTAGTTGCTGTCCCGGTAGGCGCCGGCCATGAGGTGGTCGCGGCAGGGCGAGTACCAGGCGAGGCGCAGCGGGCCGGGAGCACTCACGAAGCAGGCGCCGGTCGGGGTGCGGAACGCCTCGTGCTGCCCGTCCAGCGCGTTCCAGTGCTGCAGCGGGGCGCAGGCCTGGCCGAGGGACGGCGATGCGCTGGGTGCCCGCCCTGCCGCCGGCACCCGCCGCCCGCCGCGGTACCCACCACGAGCCTGCCCTGCCAGCTGGTGACGGACGCGCCCAGCCACTGGTGCGATTTGTAGGTGCGCAGCTCCAGGGTGCCCTGCGCCTCGCTCTCGTCTCCTGCGGGAGCAGGGAGCGGGAGCGTGCCGGGTGCTGGTGACCCCCCGAGGCCCCGTCACCCCGCGGCCCCCACTCACCCGTGGTGTCGATGGGGACGGGGTCGCAGGGGGTCCCGCTGGGGGGCCAGGGGCAGAGGAAAACGGCGCCGGGCTGCGCCACGCCGGGCTGGGAGGTGTTGGCGCGGGGGGCCCCCACCGCCACGCTGGAACTGCGGGGGGCAGCAGGCGGGTGTCGTTGGGGGTCGGGAGCTGTGCCCGGCCGCAGCACCCCGGGCTCCCCCCTACCTGCCCCGGGCCGTGTGGAAATCCAGGGAGAAGCCGAAATAGCTGCCGGGGGGTCCCTTGTACGTGGCGGGGAGGTCCTGCAGGAGGCTGAGGGCAGGGGCCGAGCGCAGCGCCCCGAGGAGCAGCAGGGCCCGCAGCAGCGCGGCAGCACCCGCGGCAGCGCCCATCGCCTCCCGAAGTGAGGCCCCAGCCCCAGCCCCGGCGCGGCCAGGCCCGGCCCTGCCTTATCGGGGGGGATGCAGCCGGGCACGGGACAGCGGGGACAGGAAGGGGAACCCCCGCACACGGAACCACACGGGGAGGGGTGGGGGGGACACGGCGACGGTGGAAGCAGCACAAAACCGCACTCAGCACCCGCTGAGCCCCCCCGCCCGCGCTGTGGGACCCGTATCTCGGGGTGCAGGCCCGGCCGGAGGAAATGCGGTGGGAGGGGGGAGTGCTACGGGGTGGAGGGGCCCCATCCACTGTCCCCAAGGTCCCCTCCGCAGCAGAGAGCAGTGAGGGGCTCCCACCTGCAGCAGCACCAGCACTGGGCATCGCCACCAAACTGCCCCGGGCAGGGGCACCCCGAAACCCCACCAGGGGAGAAGAGCGGGGCCGGGCAGCCCAGGGGCTCTGGGAAAGGGGCAGGCAAGGGCATGAGTGCCAAGGCTGGAGACAGCCATAGCCAGACCAGCAAGAGGGCTCCTTGTCCTGGATGCAGGGAAAGGTGCCCAGAGACCAAGTCGGGCCTGGGCAGCGCTGGAGCGAGGCCAGAAGAGGGCACGGAGCTGCTGCGAGGGCTGGAGCAGCTCTGCTCTGGAGCCAGGCTGAGAGAGCTGGGCTGGGGCAGCCTGGAGAAGAGAAGGCTCCTGAAGGGGAGACCTGAGAGCAGCTCCAGTGCCTGAAGGGGCTCCAGGAAACCTGGAGAGGGGCTTGGGACAAGGGATGTAGGGACAGGCCAAGGGGAATGGCTTTAACCTGCCAGAGGGGAGGCTGAGATGAGCTCTTAGGCAGAAGCTCTTCCCTGTGAGGGTGCTGAGGCGCTGGCACAGGGTGCCCAGAGAAGCTGTGGCTGCCCCATCCCTGGCAGTGCTCAAGGCCAGGTTGGACACAGGGGCTTGGAGCAAGCTGCTCCAGTGGAAGGGGTCCCTGCCTGTGGCAGGGGCTGGAGCTGGAGGTGCTTTAAGGTCCCTTCCAGCAGAAACCAGGCTGGGATTCTGTGCCTCTTGCCTGGTTCCAGGCTCATCAGGCAGGTTGGTTGTGCCACTCGCTGTGCTGAGGGCTCCTGCCCAAACACCACCCTTTAACCCCCCCAAATGACACAAATTAAAAGTACATTTTCTCTGCATCCAGCTCAGCGGCTGCCGAGCAAAGAATCCCAGTTCAGAGTCGTTTTACTTGATGAACCAAGCATCCAATGCTGTTATTTTAGGAAGAAGCCCTGGGCTCCATCCCCATCAACTGCAGCAGCTCCTATTCATGTCATGCAACAACCACACACATTTTTCCATAAATCACTGGTTTATTAGAAAGGTTTTTTCCCCTCATTTTACAGCATATATATATATATATATATATAATCTTATGTGACAAAGTTAAATACAGTCTGTTTATGCCTGGTAAGTAATGACAGGTTAATTATTTTTAGCACTATTCTGGAAGTCAACCCCCCCCTCCGGGCTGCAGCGTGAAGAGTGCCAGAATGTGGATGTGGGATCTAGAAGCTAAGGAAGCCCAGCATTGAGACACTAATACTGAATCTCTTAATTATTTACAGAGAAATTGAGTCCCTTTTAGTGACTGCTGGGGTTCAGACCTGCCCAAACACAACATTTCCCATTCCAAGAGTGAAGAAGCTCCAGAGGTTTTGATCCTTTCAGTCTCTGCCCACCCAGGAGGATGGGGAAGGGGATACCTTGCTGCCAGCTCCCAAACCAACCCCAGAAGGTGCCCTCAAACCGGTCTGATCCAAGGACCTGAATCCCAGAAGCCCAGTGCGATGGGAGAGCTTGTGGCTGGAAGAGCCTCCCTGTGGTATCAGCTGGAAGAACTGAGCAATCCCTTAGGGAACATCAGGGTTAGTCCTAAACCACCTCTCCCTGCGGGAGGATGGGTTCAAAGGCTCTTCCCTCACCAGAAGGCTGCTGGCAGCTGCAGTCACCCACTTGAGTCCAGGGGGGAAGAAGCAGAGACAAACCCGGGTGTTTTACACTCTGCCCCTCCCAAGGGTGCCTCCGGGGTCCAATTCCTACAGCAGGGACATGGAGCTGCTCCTGCTCCCAGCCTTTGTGTTATGCTGTAAAATGCTAAAGGAAGATTCAATTAATTTTTTGAGTTTTTTTTTTACATTTTATGGTACATAAAAACTTCAAAAATATGTGAGCTCGATAAACTATACATGCTGAAGTTGTCCTGCAGCTAGCTGCAACTCCAAAGTGGAACCTTTCCAAGTGTCTTATTTCACCTACAGCAAACCTATTTACACAAAAGCCACCAGAACGAAGTACCACTAAAAGAACTGGCTGTAAAAAATATTATTGCAATATACTACAAATGTAACCTTTTTATAGGAGCTACAAAAAGCAGCATCTTTGTTTACAGAGTTCAGTGCAATTCTTTACATTGAAAAAAAAAAATCCTATAAATTAATAAGGAAACCATCAGTATTACAGACGAAAGAGGAATTCACTTCACACACCCCAGCCACTCTCCCCAAGCCTCAGTATTGCTTTAATTCCCAAAGGGATTTTTCTCCTCTCTCCCAACACCACAGGAGCTGGAAGTCAGTGAGATGTTTTCCCTCCTCTCAGGAGAAGAGTGGTCAAACCCCAGACTGGAATCACCACCCCAGAGCCTCTCTGTAGCCCAGGACATGAGGCTCCGGGTACACGTGTAGCTCCTTTCTTCCTCTTTACAGTAAGATCTTAATTTCACCTTTGCTGCTCACCCCAAGGACAAATCCCCCCGAAATCAGCAGCCAGGAACCTCCTGTGATGCCTGAAGACTGGTGCTGGCCCAGCCGAAACCAGTGTGGCCCTGCCCTTCTCTTCACCCCCTCATCAGCATCCACAGCCACCAGTTCCTCAGTGTTTTCTCACCCATTCCAAGCTGGATTCAATCATGCTGACTGTTTCAATTAGATGACCTCATTAAAAGGGTTCTTAGAGACCTATAAGCGTGTACGGGATCTCCTTCATGATGTACAAGGTGGCAGAAGGGAGATGGTCAAGAGTGAGAATTAGGGAAAAGAAAAAAAATACAGTCTTTCCAAGAATCTTGCTGGTCTACATGTGAAATGATTCTCCTAAGAGAGTGCTGCTACGTGCACAGAGGTGTTGGGGACATGAGACTGTCCCTGGTAGTGGATATACACAACGCTTACGACTGACCCACCGCCTGCTGCTCCCCAGCCCTCGAGCCTCTGGCTTCTTTGGCTGCTAAAGAGTGAAAAGAAATTCTCAGGCTTCACCTGCCAGCTGGATCAACTCCAAACCCCTTCCCAAAATGCACAAGATTCTCCTTCCTCCGAGGTTACTTAATTTTGTCCTTCATGTGCCATGACTGGGTGGATGCTGCAAGTCCTGTCCTGAGAAGATGGGGTGCAGCAGAGGGTGAAGGTGTAAGGCTGTGGCAGCTGCAGCCGCAGCGGGTCTTGGAGCAAGCAGGGTTGGATAAAGAGCATGAGGAACGGGATGGAAGGTGAAGGGGCCGGGATGAATGGCTGACGCCGGAATGATGTGGATGGGATGGCTGGCTAGAAACGTAGCAGGGTGCCCTGGAATAATGGAGTGGGTCAAGTGGGATAAGGAAATAGGTGTCAAGTGGGGCTGGGGTATGTGGTGAACCTGAGCAAGGGGTTGGGGATGGGGGTGTGGGTGGATGCCGATGGCGGCGGCGGCAGCGGCAGCGTGGTGCTGCAGGATGGCATGCTGCACCGTGGTGATGGATGTGGCTGAGGCTGCCGGCGGCTGCTGGATGTGGATGGGCTGCAGGGCAGGCGCTGCTGGAGCCAGGGCTGCTGAGGCTGGGAAGGCCTTGACCTGCTTTGCCATGAGCTGCTGCTGGATGTGCTGCTGTGCAGCTTGCTGCAGCTTACTGTACTTCTCCATCTCCTCAGGTGTAAAAGTGATGGGCTGGCTCTCAAGTGGTGCTAGAGAGGAATCTTCTTCCCGGTCCCCTTCGATGCTTGGCTCGCCACCCTGAGGCACATAGCCAGGAAAGTGCTCGACATCTGGAACTAAGGACATCATACTGGTTTCCGCTGGGACTGGCTGGCTGCCCCCATCCATAGGTTCTAGCCCATTGCCATCGCCCGGCTCTGGGAGGAAGCTGTGCGGCATAACCAGATCTCCAGACCTGAAGCACTCAGGGAGCGCCGGTGCCTCGAGGGGAATGGACTGCATTTCCACAGCAGGTTCGTCCCGTTTCTGCTCATCCAGAGGCTTGTCCTGAATCACCATCACCACTTCTTCCAGGAGAGACTGGCCACCCAACTGAGCCTCCTCAATGCCCTGGGAAACCTCCTCAACATCCGACAGCTCTTGCTCCTCACCTCTCTCCAGCCCAGACTCCTCGTACCGCTTGGTATTTGGCTTCCGAACGGTTGGCAGTTTCCCAATTAAGGGAAGAACCGGTTTGTTGCCCAAGGAAGGAGGAAGTTTGGGGCCAAAGTAGCCCTGGGGAGGATCCTTGAGCTTTATTCCCACCTTGTTCGTCCCTGGGAGCATCTCATCAGGGACGCAGGGCTTCTTCTCAACCTTCTTTGACTGAATCTTCTCCAGGAGCAGCTTTGCAGTGACAGAGTTTCTCTCCTCGGGGCTGCCGTCCCCTTCCGAGGCTCTGCCTGTGCCAGAGCTGCTGCTGTTTTGGGAGAGTGAGCCAGATCCTTTCAGATCCTCTCCTTTGCCATCCTCTTTCTTCAGCAAGGATCCTTCACCTCGGCCTGTACGGAAATAGTGTGGAGATTGCGAGCGGTAGATTTTGGACCTGATGAAGTCTCTTCTCCCAGGTCTCCTCTCCTCGGGGCTCTCGTGGCCTCGAGAGCCCTTCCGTGACAGGGACCTCTGGGAGTGGCTCCTGGCGCTGCGGCTGCGGTCCCTGCTGTAGCTGCGGCTCCGTTTCCAGCTGCGCTCCGTTGCGCTGCGGCTTCTCCTCTTGCTCCGGCTGCGGCTGCAGCTGCTGCTGCGTGTCCTGCCACGGCTCCTCGTTCGTGACCTGCCTCGAGGGTGCGTTGTGCTCCTGCTCCGGCTCCTCGACCTGCTCCGGCTTGAGCTGTAGTCGTCGTCTGAGGAGGAGTACTTGTACCGCTTGGATCTGTGACTTGAGCTGTTGTAGTCAGAGTCATCCTCTGAGTCATTGGACCGCTTTGAGTGGCACCTCGACCGGTCACTGTAATCGCTGTAGCTGTCGTCCGAGTAGCTCCGCCGGTGGCTGTAGCGGCTGTGGTCTGAGGAGGCGTCGGAGCTGGAGGAGTAGGACCCGCAGGAGGAGCGCCTGCGCTCTGAGCGGGAGCGGCTCCGGGACCGCTCGCTGCCGGAGTCATCGTCATCGCTGTAGTGCGAGGGGGACTTCTGCCGGCAGCACTTCCCGAGGGAGCCCTCCTCGCTGTCGTAGTCCCCGCTGCTCTGCCGGCTCCTGCGGGTGGCCCTGCCTGGAGCAGGACCTGAACACCGCCGCCTTGGAGCAGGGAACTGCGGCAGGTCAGCCCTGCGCTTCCTGCTGCAGTGCTCCAGACAGGAGTTATCTCCATCCTCTTTCTTACTGCTACTTCCCTCCTCTGCAGACAGAGACTTCCTCTGGGACTCCTGGGAGCACCGCTTTCTCCTTGGGCAGTGCCCGCGCTCCTTGGGCAGTTCTGTTTTCAGGGCCCGTTCCGATTCAGTTGAAAGACAGGACTTGCCTTTCTTGTGCCGGTGTCTTCTCCGTTTCTTGGGTTTCTCTTCCCCCACGTCAGTTTTCCGGCCCTTCTCAGCAGCCTCCTCCTTGTGTTTCCGTCTATGTTTGCTGGACTTTTTGTGCTTCTTTTTCTTTTTGTGTTTATGGGACCTGCCAGATTTGCTCTTCCCCATTATGCTTTTACCACCCTCTTCTCCCTCTCCCTTACTAACAGTCGCCAAGCTGGACTCCTGCTTGTTCTGGGAGCCACAGTGGGACAGAGATTTGGTTTCCATTTTCAGAGCAGAACTGTTGGCTACGCTTTCTGCCTCCTTGGCTTTGCTCATCTCACCAGGTTCTGTGTTCTGACCACTTTCCTTACAAAGTCCCCCCGGCTCCTTGGGTTTCTCTGCTCCTTTGCCTTTACCATCTTTATTGCGAGAGAGCTTGAAATCAAAATACAGGGGGTTACAACTGTATGAAACCGATGGTTCTGCTTTGGTAAATATGAGAAGCTCTGAAGGCCACTGGAGGGTCGTGCTCTCATCTTTACTTAGAACAGGGAAAAAAGGTCCTGTGGGATGCTTTGGTCCTCCAGAGACATTCTTACAGCCTGAGGCAGGCTGTGGGGATTCTTTAGCAGTGTCTAGCTCAGGGAGGTCACTCTCTGGCAGATGTTTGCTCTCCTGCACACTCGCATTTTCCAGGACTTCTCTTAGCTCAGTTTTGCTCTGCTGAGCTGTGCTTTCAGTAGTGCTCTGCTCCTTCTGCTGCCCTGTGCTCTCAGCAGCCTTCTCTGTGTGCTTGCTGGGTTTGGGTTTTGGAGAACCACCCTTTTTCACTTCATGGGTGGCTTTTTTGTTCACATTTTCAGCTTCCATTTGCTCGGTAGACTTCATGAAAAGCAGGAATTGAAAGTTAGGCTTCACTTTACAATGGGCTGGGGGAATATAGTGGTAGTATTCTGGTTCAATTGCCATTGGTCCATCTTCTCGTCTCATCTTTTTTAGTTTTGACAAAGTAGTGGCTAGAGACCCGCTGTCTTTGTCATGTTGGTCATCTTCCTCTGCCTTGCCATCAGAGTTATTTGTGCCTTCACCCTCACCAGATTTCTGCAGGCTCCCTGCCTCTGAGGACCCTTTCTCATCAGCTTTTGCTCCATCTGCAGCATTCGATTCTTCCACATGGTCCTTGAAAACAGAAGCTATGGTCTCAAGCTTTACTGGAGTCTTCTTTGCAAAGGAAAAAGACACACCTATCTTCTGCAGGGGAGTTCCCAAAGTACTCTTGATGCCAAAGCTGATTGCTTGCGCTCCCTGGATGGGCATTTGGCTTGGTGTAACAGTGCCAGCAACTTGTCCAGTGTTTAAGAAACCTCTGTCCATACTCATCTCTGTAGCTTGGCCAGAAGTTGACTGGATGAAAGAGCTGCTGTTGGCTGCAGAATCATCACCATCATCTCCCCCTTCCTCATCCACAGCCACTGTGGTGGTTCTGAACATGGGTCCACTTCCAGGAGCACTGTATGAACAAGTTAAAACAGAGGAAACAGCTGACTGCCATTTGTATATCCCTGCAGATGGATTCATGTCTCATTTAAGCCTTCTACACAAAGCTGTGGCTGCCCCATCCCTGGCAGTGTTCAAGCCCCGGTTGGACAGAGGGGCTTGGAGCAACCTGCTCTAGTGGAAGGTGTCCCTGCCCCTGGCAGGGGTTGGAAATGGAAGAGCTTTAAGGTCCCTTCAACCCAAACCAGTCTGGGATTCTAGGATTTCATGTACTCTGGTATCCAAAACTACACATTAAAATAGCATCACACAGCCATTTGTTAATAAAAATAACTAACTGAAGAAAACATACTGCTGGATAAAGGCATTTGGGGATGCTCTGGACTATGGCTTCAGGGAATTCACTCACACCAAAAACACAGCACGGGGTGTGGCTTGCCCTCCACACTTGTGTGTGATTACAGGAACCAGAATGGCAGCACAGCCCAGGGCTGCAGCCCCAGGCAGGGCTCACACACAGATGCCCTGAGGGTGCTCAGGATCACCCCACTCACCATTCAGGCTGCCTCCTCTGCTCAGCCAGCTCATGAAGGCGCCGCAGGGCCTTCTCCTGCTTCCTTTCATCTTTACGTGATCTGGAAGAGACATTGCGAGCGAACTCCCTCTGCTTGAGATCTTTCAACCTCTGAGGCAAAAGAAAGCAGGAACGGATTAGATCGAAGTGGGCTTGGGGTAAAGTGTCCAAAAGCAGCTCTGCTGTCACACTGGAAGTCCACTGTCAAGCCCCTCCCCAGGAACATTTATTGAGCTAGGATGGAGCAACAGCATCATAGCTCAACAAACCACATGGAGCACATTGCCATCCTCCCAGTAGCTAAATGAAAAGACAACTGTTGATCACTTTCCGTTATTTCAAGTCTGTGTATCTGCATATCCAATCAACACTACTGGTTTTCTTTAGCATGTACAATAAAGCTGATTTCAAAGCAACAAGCAAATTCTGGAAGGAAAAGGGGAAAATAAAGGAATGGTTTTGCTGCTCTTGCAGGGTGCAGATGTACTTGACAAACAGCACATGATGGAAGTCTGAATAGCATGGACAGAGAGGGATTAGCTGGTGCAAGAGTTACCCAAGTATTCCATCTTCCAAAAGCAATGTACAAATTACATTGGAGAAGGTGCCAAAAATCCCATGCAGATGATTCCAGTAAGCAAAAAAACAATCCAACATACACCACAAACAGTTACTTGCTTTCCTGACAGTAGTTCCGAGATGGGCTCTCAAGAAACAAAATGCTCTAAAATGCTCTTTTGGGTTCGGATACTTGAGAGAGCAGAACCACCAGATGCCCAGGAATTCTGGCATAGGAGGAAGTCAATCAAGCCCAAGGGATTCCAAATATCATAATGTTAAGAGGAAATCTAGAGATCCAGTTCTAATAGAAATGGAACATCCAAGACTATAGGAAATGTTTGAAAGCCTTGTCTCAAAGCACTAGGAAAGAGGCTGCTGTTTCTCCTCTGCATACATGGCAAAATTCATAAGGTTTTTTTAGAGCACTGTGCAGAAGTTCAAGTGACAGAAAGCAGCAAGGAAAGACCTTTCCCATCCAAACAGATTTACTTTTCTTTTTTGGTGCACTATATGAAACCCTTCCAAAAGGCCCAATTCCAGAACGGATCATGGACCCAGCTTCTGAGGAAGTTTCATGTTTTCAAGCACTTCATGGAAGGCCTGAAAGACTAAAGGGATCAAAGCAGTAGTCACTTGAGAAAGCTTCTTGTACAAGATGTACAAATCTCTGGTGATTTGTAAATACACCTGTGACTGCCTCTTGGATGGAGCAAAGTCAGCACAGAATGGTTTGTGTTGGAAGGAACCTTAAAGCTCACCCAGTTCCAACCGCCAGCCCAGGCAGGGACAACTTCCACTAGACCAAATTGCTCCCAGCCGCATCCAAGTCAGGCTGGACCACACAGAAACAGTGGATCTGAAAACTAACCCAAAGCTCAAATGAGAGGCATTAAGTTGTCCCAATGTAAAGAGAACATTGCTTTGTGAAAAAGGGGGAAGATTTGACAAGACAGGATTTTCTTACCTAATGGTATTTACTAAATATGGTTGAGCGTTGCCGAATTCAGAGGGGAAGACACATAGAAAAAGCTACAGCTATAGACACTTGCAGAAAGAAACTCACTCTTGTGATCTGGCCTCCAAAATTAGAAGGGTTTGCTTTCAATACATCAGCTGAAAACATCACATCACAAAGAAGAAAAGAAAGTAAAAATGTAACAAGAGTGAAAGAGAGGAAAAAAAACAACAAGCAAGGGTTAGGGCCCAGGCTGCCGCTGGGGTGTGAGCTACTCTACAGAGCAGGAATGAGCCAGTGAAGCTACAGGACGGAGCTCAGGGAGTCTGGAGCAAGAGCGGGGGCACACATACACATACACGCTCAGACACAGCAATGATCCCACCTGGAACAACAGAGCTACTTTCACCAGGACAAGTAAAGGGCTCCAGGGTTTTGTGGTGTATGTTCAGTGGTGAATAGTGATTTTTTTTCCGAGAGGGAGGAAAAAAAAAAAAAAGACAAAAAAGAAGTGGGCTAAGCAATGCTATCAGCTTTTTCATGCTGATTCAAAGAGCAGCTCTAAATGCTCCAGGAAGTTAAAGTTACCAACAGCTGACAGAACTACTGCACTGGGGTTTGATGCCAAATCTCTCAACCACTCATCCCTTTGGAAAACACATGGCCTGGCTATTTACCACAGAGCGAACTGTGACCTTTTCCTTTGGAGAGGAAGGTGCAGTGGTGCACTGGGAAACCCAACCCCAGCCATGGCCATAAATATCTCCCAGGAAAGCAAACAGGCTCCAAGCCTGTTGGTAATACTGTAGCTGCCCATGATGCCTTCATTACAACAGACAGTTTTAATGGAAACAGAATTAAATGCCCATTTCCTTAGATGCTGATCTTTGTGTGTCTCTGCTCCACAGACCTCCTACTCTCTCCATTTATCAACTAGAAGTGATGCAGCAAATCACTATCCTGGTGCGTTGTGACTCCAGCACAGGCGATACAGTAACACCCGGCCACACCAGTACCGGAGCCCTTCTGGGTGACAGACCATCAACCCTGCTTTCAAGGTTGCCGAGAGTTTACTACTCCCCAGACGAGGGAGAAGCTGGTCTGATTTTGGGAAGCTGACTTTGCAAAGGACTAAGATCTCAAGGCTGAGTTTCTTTTTGATGTACACCAGAAGGAAGAAGGGTCTTGTTGGGGAGAGAAAAGCTCCACAACTGCACTGGCCATCCCCCTGGGAATGTAAAATCATAGAATCCCAGAACGGTTTGGGTTGAAGGGACCGTAAACCTCATCCAGTTCCAACTCCCTGCCACAGACCAACACTGAACTTATAGCCAGAACTTTCCAAGATACCCTGTCAGTGACTGTCACCTCACTCACTGTTTCAAGTGCATCACTGAGTCCAGTCATTTACCCATGCAGAGAACAACGGATAACCAGGTAAGCACAGCTTTGCCCACCCTATGCCCCAAACCTAACTGGGGTGAAGCAATTAAAAGCCTGAAGTACAATGTCACAGCAATAAAAGCGGCATGTGGAAGCACTGAAATATTTTTTGCTCTACTCCAGGGCTCAGCCTTCCCACAAAGCTATTTCAAGTGAATCGATATTTAAGCTTGGCTTGCACTAAAGAAATTTCCATCTAATCCTTAGGCAAAGGTTCATGATTGAAATCCTCCAAAATCTCTGAATTACTTTTTGGACCACACCACATGTATGGGTGCTCCTCCTCCTACACCCCACCCCACCCCCCCCCCAGCAAAGACACTTAGCCAAGGATTTCATGTAGCCACTGTATCGTCCTCAGAGGGCTTCTCACTAACTCAGGAACAGGAGCCCTGGGAACCCATCTCAGGGTGAAAGCAGCCTTTTCAGGTCTTCCCACAGTGCTCAGCAAAGCCATCATTTCTGCAAGAGGATTAAAGCCACCAGCCTGTAGTAAATTAAACACACAGCCCTGGTGTTACTAGAGGACTTCCACATTAGGAAGCTTTTTTCTTCATAGGCAGTGTGTTTTCTGAGGAAGCAGCAACACACTTCCAAACTGTAGGATGAGAGTGACCATGAAGCCAAGAAATCCTATTCTGCTGGGTTATTATTTCAGCTTGAAGGGCCACATCAGTGCCCACAAACAAGGACACAGATCACCAGCACTTCAACAGGCTGCCCAAATTCTTGCCTGCTAGCAGCAGTACTTCAGTGCCTGAAGCCTTTCTTCAGCTTGGAATTGTGTTTCCAATTAATAGCTGCCACCCACCTCAGCTTGGTAACAAAGAATAGTATTTAAAGTTTTCAGCCTTGTTTCTAACAAAATTACTCAGAAGTCTCCAAATTTCCATGGGAATGCAAACTGAGCTCCTCAAGAACAGGTTTTCTGTAAGATCTGCAGCTACCTCAGTGCTCCAGCACAAAGGGGTCCTTGATCATCTCTCGGTCACCACATAGCTTAGGAGTGGCCAAACTGGCAAACGCCACCATCATCTTATGATTCCCTTCAAACTGACCTCAATGAGCTGCACTCAGGCATCACTGAAAAGCTCCAGAGACAACCCATCAAGGACATGTGAAAGGGGTGAAATGAAAAGGGAACAATGAGGATCCAGGAGCTGTTGTAACAGGGAACCTCTCAGCACATGCTGTGGCAACCGTGCCGGAGGTTTTACTGGTGGGATGGTGTGGAGGGAAGACCTGCCCGGTACCCAGCTGGAGTGCATGGCTTTCCAGGTTCTGATAAAGGGATTTCCTATGCCTAAGCTGACAAAGCCATGCAGTTTCACTGAACTGAGGCCCACTCAAAAGGCATTCTTTGCCTAAAACTGCAGAACAGAAGGTGTTATTCTCAGAATAAAGCCCTCTGCTACACTGCTTTGCTAGACCTGCAGATCCTAGACTTCCATGAGAAACCTTCGTTCAGGAGAGCAGGACAGACTTTATGGGATCCATGTACCATGAGATTTCAGAGTTGGTTTGAGGCAGGAGACAGCTTGTGGAACAGCACAAGGGTGTCAGAGCCTGCTCCTCCCCTGCTATTGCTGCTGAGTCTCTCTGCCAATCCCTATTAAAGGATAATGCACTTTCCATTACATGCCAGCACATCTCTGCCTTCCTGAACTTTTGACATGTGCTTGATTCTCTGCCACAAAAGCTTATAGGGGCAAACTACACTATTAGCTAAATAAGAGCTCAAAGAATGGCAACCTTTGCAGTTTCACAGGAGTGAGAACACAAGCCCTGCTTATTTCTGGTAATCAACATTCTCTGCATGCTCAGAAATGAAGTGGAAAGAGCAGAGGGGAAATGGCGTAAAACTGCAGCTTCATTTCATCTTCATTTCTTCCCCGACACCTTGGTTTCAACTTAGGAAAACATATCCTGTGTTAATGGCACACAGATACCCCAGTGCCACTGGTCACAGTGCCCAGGCCCCACAGAGAGTCATAGAATGGTTTGAGTTGGAAGGGACCTTAAAGACCATCCAGTTCCAACCTGGAAACCAGCTTCCCAGAGAAGCATCTGGAGGTCTTGGTGGACAGCAAACCACCATAAGCCCTTGCAGCAAAGAAGGCCACCAGTTCTATCACCAGAGCATTGCCAGCAGGTCAAGAGAGGTAATCTTTCCTTTACTCAGTACTGGTGAGGGGTATTGGTGCTGAATACTGATTTTATGGAGCATTCTCCCTGCAGCAGGGCTCTTCTCCAAATGCCTTTACCATGGGCAAGCAAGCAGCTCAACAACTAAAACTGGGCTGAGAAAAACACCATGAGGTTTTCTGAGGGTAGAAAAGCCTCCCATGTAGCACCCACTGCCTTGGAGATTCTCTCTCCAATTTCCTACATCCAAGCTGTGCTTGAAGACATTTATTATTGGAAAGCACAAGTGCAAATCTCCCCAAATCAGGAAGTTTAGCGTTTGGATTTAGACGACTCATCAGCCACAGCAGGGACTGTGCTGGTAATTTTACTGTGCTTTAATAGATTCCTCCAAATAAATGAGGGCATGAAGAGAACTGCAGATCTACAGTCTCAGTTTTTGGGTTCCATCCTTTTTCCCAAAGAACTTCTTTATGGAAATACATTTGTCCTTTTATAAAGAGAATCTATGGAGAATTCAGCTATGGAGAATTCAGCTACATGAAAGCCTGCATTTCAGTCCTGGTCAGAGCTCTCACAGTGAACCTGGCAGAGGCTTATAAAGGACCATATTTGGTGTTCACAGAGAGTGTGGAAGGAGAATGTTTTTATCCTGTTGGGTCAGTGACTGAGGAAACAGCTCAACCCTTCACTAGGATGTGAGGAGGGAAGAGGTGAAGCTCTGTGAGACTCTGTATAAAAATTCTTGATGAAGTAAACTAAGAGTAAGAGCTGGCTGCAAACACCACATTACTTACATGTGAGGTATTTCCAACTGTAAGGACTTCCGCAACATCCCAGGCAGGGGTCCTTCATAAGCTACCAGTCCTTCTACTTGGCAGGGCCACCTTCCACTAGAGCAGGTAGCTCTAAGCCCCATCCAACCTGGCCTTGAACACTGCCAGGGGTGGGGCAGCCACAGCTTCCCTGTGCACCCTGTGCCAGCACCTCAGCACCCTCACAGGGAAGAGGTGAGTCCATTTTCTCTTTTGCAGGGCCACCTCCATGAACCCAAGTCACCTTCATTCCTCTGGCCTCCCCGAGGAAGGACTGACCATTTGGTGACTAGAGAGAGTCACTGTTCTTTCAACCATCTGTACTTCTCATTCCAAGAAATAACCTCATTTAAGAAAACCTAGGGCACAACACTGCACCCCTCCAGCAGGACGTTTACAATGACTTCAACAGGCCAATGCTTTGTGATGAGAAACTGAAGATGACTTTCCCTGTTAAAATAATCAGGAAATACCGCCTTTTGGACAGAAAGGTGTTGAGGTTGATTCAGATAAATCCAAATGCTACATGAAACCAATGTAGTCAGGAAATTATAATAATAAAACCTCCCCTTTAATTGTTTGGTGTTAACAAGTTGGTCCAGAATTTATCCGGTAGGGATCAAGCCACTTACCTATCATCCCTGTTTCGCAATAATCCTGAGTTCCTTCCTGGAATACAAGACAGTGTCTTTATAACTGGGGAGTGGAAAGGGATCTGAGGATGGAACAGCTATTTCCAGGGACAGCCTAATGCTCACTGAGCTGCAGAAGGAACAGGCAAACACTCCCATGGCATGTAGATGTGTAGTTAAAAATACTTAAAAGCAAAAATGATCCTGTGGAAATCTGTCCAACAAGCTGAGGAAAAGGCAAAAGGAAGCACTGATGCCTCAAGAATTACCACCAAGACAAAACACTGCAGATAATATACACCAAGCTGGTTTCCTGCGGTCAGCTACTGCAACATCTTTCTAAGAGCCCCCGATCAGCCCACTTTGAAGAGAAGTTGATGGTTTTCCTCAAAACGTTTATGTTAGCCTTTATGGAACATTGCCTTCTTCTCTAAAGAGGCAAAAATCTGAAACTTCATGTGCCACATCTTATTAAAAAGCATTTTTTCTTTAAACTACCTTAGAATTTAGAGTAGACTGTTGGAAATGAGCCTTCCTTGAGCAGCAGTGGCCAGCAGCGGAGGGCTGGTGTTACTGACCAAATTCACCTTCACCATTTCTAGGTAAGTTTCAATCTCACTCACTGAACACTGACCCAAGGGGGTGACACACATTTCATGGCATAAAGCTGGACCAGCAATTTTTTTCCCTAAGCAAAGCATGATTGATGCTTTGTATAAATCCCTGTGTGTTTAGAAATTTATGCTGGGTGACAGAGTGAGAGTTTGAGGGCTCATTTTCTCCAAAGCATGCTTGAAGTTACTGCAGTGTATGAATATTATCCAAGAACATCAGTTCCTTTAAAATAACCACCACCCTGTGTGCTCCCATGACATTTTTCTTGTAGGTCACTCTTCTTGTGCTCCTGCTGATGACTCCTTTCATATCAGTGAGGGGTGGTTGCTTTTCACAGGTTTACTGTTTCTCCCTCCACAGCATCTCTAGATGCTAGAAAAACTCTGGACCTTGCCAACCTCATGGAATCCCAGACTGGTTTGTGTTGGAAGGGACCTTAAAGCTCATCCAGCTCCAACCCCTGCCACAGGCAGGGACGCCTTCCACTAGAGCAGCTTGTTCCAAGCCGCATCCAACCTGGTCCTGAACACTGCCAGGGATGGGGCAGCCACAGCTTCTCTGGGCACCCTGTGCCAGCGCCTCAGCACCCTCACAGGGAAGAACTTCTGCCTAAGAGCTCATCTCAGTCTCCCCTCTGGCAGGTTAAAGCCATTCCCCTTGTCCTGTCCCTACAGGCCCTTGTCCAAAGCCCCTCTCCAAGTTTCCTGGAGCTCCTTTAGGCACTTGAGCTGCTCTAGGGTCTTCCCTTAAGAAGCCTTCTCTTCTCCAGGCTGAACCAGCCCTCACCATCAGTCTCCCTATTAATCACCCAAGGGATTTAAACAGGAGCTAACACAGTCATACTGCATCACCACCTGGTAAGAATGTGACACAAACAAGTCCTTCAACCTCCTAAATAGATGCATGTCATTGCACTCAAGTTTCAAGCCAGTTGATGGAAAGCTGCAGGTGAAGTTCACTGCTATTGGGTAGCACAACTGTGCCACCAGCTCAGCCAAAGCAGCCCCTTTTCCCAGCCCAAAGTAAAGGAATGACTTTCTCCTCTTAATTCTATTAAACCACAGTTCATCACAGTACTAAAACAGGAATTACCCTGCCAGGAGAATTCCTGTTAACACTGTTTGAGTTATCACATTCTATACTAAATACATGGGGGGAAAAAAACGCAACTCATACTCTAATGCCATAATCTTGGTTTTAACCTGTTGCTTTACCACTATTTTGCAAGATATAGTACTCGACAGCACATCCTCCTGAAGTTATCAGCATATGAATGATTGTATCCTTAGAATTTATCACTAGGAACGTCCAAAATCCTCCTCTGAGTTTTCATCCTGAGAGGAGCACAACACTGCTACCTGCTGTATAGCTGCCTCAAACGGTTAGATCAGGCTAACAACATGAACTTGCAGTGTTTACTGTGCAGTCTGAAGTACCATGTAGATACCATGGTACCTCCCTACCTTGGGAGCAAAGCCAGCTCCACAGGGATTCTGAATCCTCCTTCTCCCAAAGGTTACAGAATTTGGGAAGTGCTCCTTTTTTACAGTTCCTTTGCCACAGCCCATGATTTCTCAGTCTGTTTCCAGCAGCTTTACAGAACACAGACTGAAGTAATGAACAGGTACATGTGCCACATCAGCAGCAGCTGCCAAAGCTGCACTACGTTAAAAGCTGATGCAAACTGGAAGCCCTCCCTCCCCACAGGTCTGCTCCTCAGTTTAACAGCAGCCAATTTGCTGGGTCATTCAAGATCAGGTTCCTTGATGCCAACCATGGGCTGGCTTTTGTGTTTGCTGGGTTTTTAAATACACGATGGCCATAAGAATCTGAACCAGTGACATAAATCACCTATTTCTGGGGCTGTAAGGAAAATAGATACACTGGGGAAATTCAAAGTGTTAACTACAAACAAGACCACTGCAGTGAATATCAAACTGATGAACTGTGTTATCAACGCTTGTTTACCTGCTTGTGAGCGTGATCATAAGAGTTGATGTGGTTGTCAAACTCTTGATGCTTTTGGTACTGCTTGTCACAGAGTTCACAGTAGAAGTTTGCTCTGAGGTCTTCCAGTGCCTTGGCAATTGCCTTTTCTTTATCAACATAATCCTGCAAAATTCAGACACACAAACAAAGCTTCTGTTAAACTTCCTGGAAAACAAATGGGAAGATGATCTTCTCCTGAGGTACCAGCACATGTGGTGCTGATGGCAGTTTTGTGGCTGCAGGAGGAGAGCTGCTCGATTGTCAGAGATGAAAAGCGAGGTTCAAAGCCTCAAGCTCCCACACAAACAAACTGGCAGCTGCCTGCTCACAGAAGATGTGCAAAATACTCATCAAACCAAGCAAGATCGTTGCTTTTGGTACAAAATCTTTGAATTTCAAGGCTGATACCTCCTCCATTTTGAGTGCTAACAGATGTCTGCTTCATCTCAGCTTGTCTGCAGTTCAACAGGGAGGAACACAGGTCTGGGGCTGGCAAAGCACAGCACAGAAACCATGGAGATTAACTCACTCCAGTGTAGTTTTACAGTCAGAGAAATCCTCCCAGGAGCAATGCTGTCCATTAAGCTGAGCTCAAACACAGTGGTTGCACTGGGAGGAGGTACAGGAAGTTGACAGTTAGTAAAAGAGGGGAAGTCCACTTTAGAGGCTGCTGACAGTACTTTTTTTCCTTGTGTAATTCACCACTAGGTGCAAACCAAAGCTCCAAGCACAGGAGGTGTCTCAGTTGGCAGTGGTCACATCCTCCCCTCTTCAATTACAATCCCATCAGCAAAGTTTATATAACACCACCCAAACCCCAAGCCAGGGCAGGTTTATTTGATGCACACAAAAGCAAAGCTAGAAATGCTGCATTAAAGTGTGCTGTGCTACCAACAGCATAGCCCATATGGCCAGTTAGCACAGCTGGGATAGGGAGAAATTATAGAATTCAAAATAGCCTAGGATGTGAGAAAAATCACTGAAGAGTTTTAGAGATTCCACCTTCAACACAAACTTCTTATGAGGAGTTTCCTCACATGAGCAAGAGCCGGTAGCCAACATTTAAGAATGATCTACTATGAAAGCTCTTGTCCTTTTCAAGATCTTGTTCAAGGCAGTATGATTGATCCCCCATATTGCTACCTCAGCAAAGTGACATTCAAGTACTGCTGAACATGTTTTCTATCATGCAAAACTCAGGTAAAAAGTTTCAACAGGGGAAAAGATCTGAAAAATTCTAGTGCTAAAAAGCTGTTAACCTTCTAACTAAGAAAATCTATTCCAGGTTCCTGCCTCTATCTATGACCAGAGCCCCTTGTTGAGAAATAATCAACACAACTTCATAGAGGTTTGAGCCTGAGGTAGGTCCCTAGGAAGACAAGAAAGGGAAACAGAGCAGCGTGAGCTCCCCAGAACAATGACATGTAAAGTCCCTCCGAAATGCTGACCAAGCTTCTTGCGGCTCAACAATGCAAACATAGCCAGTTGAAAGCTCAGGATCCCTACAAAAGGAGGGAATTAAAGAGCATTTCTTGCTTGCTTCTTGGTTGTAGAGTTCTCTGAGTTTCCTTTGAGACTCACTGAATGGCTCATCAGGATGCGGCCACAGTTGGCAGTTGCATAATGGACTCCTGCAGAGCAGCGGAAAAATGAGGCTGGCAGAGATTTCCCACAGATGAAACCAGAAAGGCAAGAGCCTGAAGTTAAAGCCCACTGATGATAACACAGCAGAGCTAGGAGAGGCTGCCACCAAGCTCCTGAGGGGAAAGAAGCCTGGGCTGAATAGCAGCAGGGAGACAAAAGAGTCTTGGAGAGCAACACACCTTCAACTGTGTTTGAAAGACAAATGCAAAAGCCAGGGACTTCCCCACAAATCACACTGCAGACCCAAGCTAAAGCATCATGCTATGCAGCTCACACACCAACCAACCACTCTGAAACCAAGGAATGCTTCCCACTCGACAGCTGCTGTCTGACGGGAGCTGGGGGGATGCTGCAGGAGGGACGCAGGCTTTGGGCCACTTGCTGATGAGAAGGGTCCATGTCACAGCCAAACCTTCCCTCTGCAGCCTGCCCATGCCCTCAGCCAGCCCATGAGAACTCTAACATCAATGCCCTGGGTCAGTACCTTGTATTTCTGCCTCAGCTCCTCGGTGTCCTCCTTCTCCACCTCAAGCACTCGCCTCCGCTCGGTGGCATCTTCGGCGTAATCAAGCTTAAAAACAAATGAGAAGCTGTGACTTGTCCCAGGAGCACTCTGCAGAGCTGACACTGCCTGGGTGGGCAATTTCAACAAGATGAGGTTTGAAACAGGATCTTTGCCTGTGCTGCTTCACTTTTCCTGTCGTGTCATCCCACAGTGGAACCAGCATGGGAAGCGGTTCATCAACCTGTGGGGTGGATGCTCCTGGCAGCCCATGCACTGCCAGAAGTAGCCTCAGCTTTACAGAGGTGAATTCCAAAGCCCAGGAGTGCCAGATGCAGAACCTGGATACCCACAAGTAAACAGAGGATGTGTTTTAGAAGTGTTTGCTACTGTGTTGATTTAAGAGTGAGTTTTGTTTTATCGGTGATGCACAAATCCTCACTTTAGGTTTCTTCCCTATCCCTGACGGCCAGGCAAGGAAGCTGGGTGACATGGCAGGAGGTGGGTGACTTACCTCCATTTCCATTCGCCCCATGCCCATGACATCATACTTGACAACGATAGGGATGGGGTCTGTTCTCCCTGGAAGAGGAACACACAGAGAGGTGGGTCAGTGGCTGCTCTGTCATTGCAGTTCGCTTTAGACATTGGGTTTGGGTGGTTAGAGATCTTGCCTTGGAGTGCAGAGACCAGAAAGCTACAGTGAACCAAACACAAGCCATTCTCACAGCTTACAGCCAAACTGCTTCTTAGCTCCAAACCAGTTAAGAGTGAGATGCACCCCAAGTACTGATCAATGGTATTTTCTGAACATTAACTGCTCATATAAATTACTGGTGTGGTCAATGTTCAGCTGTGACAAGTCCTAGGGCAGGACTTGAGAAATCCACCTTCCCCTCAATGCTTCCATATCAGGCAGTGAGTACTCATCTGCTGATATGAGCAAAAAAGCTATTAAATACCTTTTCATGCTCTCCCACATTCATAACTGACCAGGACTTTCCCGTCCAGGATGTGGAAGCCTCTCTCCCTCCCTCCCACCAGCTCTATCCCGCTCCACGAGTCAGGGAAGCTGACTCAGAAGTGTGGCTCGGAAGCCAAACTTCCTCCAGCCCCAAGGCCCACCGGCCATGTAGGCCAGGCTCTGCTTGCCCTGCTCTGCAGAGCTGCTCCCATGCCCACTGCTCCCCTGTAAGCTGTGAAAAGGACGAGTTGCGAAGAAAATTGACTTTGAACTAATCAAACTATGCTGGAGATTTCTTTTTGGCTTTTTAAATAAAACATATCTTTAATCCACTCATAACCAGCCAAACAAAGCAAAATGGGGCAGACAAGCACTTTACTACCACAGCTTTTGGGGTTTGTTTTGGTTTCAATTCTTATTCTCTTTCTTTTTACATCACAACTGGCGCTGGGTTGTGATGTAAGCCCACAGAACAAGTACTTACCTTCTCCGGAGCATACCTTGAGTGAGAAAACAGAATGTTTACTGCCCTTATCATTGCATTGCTCTTGGTTTGGTGTAAACAACTGGTTTGTTATACACACATACACAGATATTATACCTTTGGGCTAAAAAGATTAACAGGTTTTAATTGTGCCAAAAATAGTCCTTAGAGCTACCTGCACAGCAGGTTCAAGTCTTTGAGACTGCTCTGAGAAGCCAGAGAGGCATCAAACATTAACTTCCCTCTTCTCCAATATATCTCTAGCTCCAGTATGGCTCTGGCTCCTCCAAAGAGTGAAGACCCCAGAGGGCACCTGCTCAGATTCGGGTCTTTCAAACTCTTCAAGTCCAGAGACTTGTGGTTTTCTATCAGAAACAAGTCAATTCAATCAATTGCTTTAAGCTTTTGTTGGTACAGCCAGGAATGTGACTGGCAGAGCCACCAGGGCCACAACCTGATCCAAGATGGGAGTCTGACTGGAGCTTTCGCTCAGCTCTTTGCCATGTTCTCGGATTGAGGAGGTTTCTCTTCTGCCCAATGGTATAATAAATCAAGCAGTGACTGCAATTTTTAGCAAAAGGACCAAATTAAAGACAGGTTATAAAAATGACTTCCTAAGTGCAGTATCACTTTCATAACGTCTCAGCCAGGGATTTACTGGGAAGTGGGAACCCAAATGGAAGGGCTGGCGCAAGCACCAGCAACACAGGTTTTTATCCAAGCTTTTGTCTTTTTGGTTTGGGTCTTTTTTTGGTTGTTTCTCCAGCAATTGAGATGTTTGGAAGCAGCCTCATTGCCCTGGTAAACCCCTGTACACAAGCAATGCATCAGTACTTTTGCCTTCTAAGGCAGTCAAAGTTTTCTTTTTGGGTTGTTTTGGTTTGATTTTACAAATCTCGTTGGAAATTGCAGTAGCAAGTGCTAGTGCCCATCATGGTGGTGGTGGGGGGAATCATGTTTGGACAGTATTAGAAATTTATGTTTAAACTGATTTTGGCAGTTCTAACACAAACAGAAACATCCCTTCTTAGCAATACCCTTTTAATGAACAAGGATCAGACAAGTGTGCATAAAGAAAGGAAAGGAAAGGAAAATGAAAGACCAAGCAGAAGGATGATGGCTACAACAGAGAAAGTAAGCCTAACATATTGGTGCACTGATGACAAAAGGAGTAATTCAGTCTGAAAATAAAAAATTACCACTGCTAAGTTTACCATCACCACAACAAGTCCAGGATCATAACGCTGTAAAAAAGAAACACCATTTGTTAGGCAGAAACCATCAGGGGCAGAAATAGGCCGTTTGCAGGTAGGATGGGTTAAAAAGATAATCAATAACAACACAAGGCTTCTTCCTCACCCTCCACCCCATCACCGTGCTTCGCCCTGTGGAACCAGGGAGCGATTTTGAGCCATGGTGACTTGATTCCAGAGCTGCAACCTGGAAGCTTTGGGTGTTGGAAGAGGCTGAGCTGCTGGTGACGGCTCGATTTCAGAGGCACATTTAAGCCGGCAGTTTAAAAAAGGAGACAAAACAGAATCTTAAGGCAATTACAAACACTTTGGGTCAAAAAGAGCTGCGTTTTCAGGCAGGAGGAGAATATTCAATGGGAAAAGCAATATTTTTTTTCAACTTAACCATCATTTTGTTATGAATGAACCACCTCAGAGCACGGAACATGGCTCCCAGCAGCAGCACTGGTCCCCACCACTGAAACCAACTCCCTCCATGTCCCAGGAAAGCCACTGCAGGAAGGGAACGGGCTCTGTGCTGCCCCACTGGCTGCCAGGGAGATGGACAACAACCAAAAGGGAAAAGAGGATTTTTCAAGTTAAGCTTTTTACGTGCTCAATTAAAGGACCCCCTCAAACAGATTTACTCCAGAGCTACTGCATGGGACAGGGGGGATCTTCACAGGCATGGAACCACGGGTCTCGGGCGCTGTGGGACTCCTAGCTTTAGGGTTCTGCTGACTTTCTCAGGTACGCCACCATGATCTGAAGGTAAGAAGAGCTTCCAAGGCAAGGCAAGAATTCCCGTATTTCACACCACTGTGCAGGGCTGCAAGTGCTGCCCCACAGACAATGAACCCCCCATGGTAAATCACACAGACCACATAAAGTTGTGTCCGTCACCCCATGCCCCAGACAACTTCTCTTAGAGAAAAGAAAAGCAGGTTACAACTCTTGTTCACAGACCCACGCAGGCGACAAACCCCAGAATGGAAAGGGCTGTTGTATAAAGACAGTTCTACACAAGGGGAAAAACCTCTGTGGAGAGGACAAAGCACAAACCTCCAATGGGATGGGAAAACCAACAGCTTACACAAGTCACAGCTTAGGAAACCCAGTCTCTTCAAGTAAATTCAGTTTAACTTAATTCAGACACAGAATGGGAGTTCAAAACTGAGCAGATACACTTGTGTTGCTTTCCTCTTCCCAAAGAGTTGGGGAAAACTTGTTCCCAGCTTGTGAAAAAGCACTCGTCCCCAAAATACGCCCCAACAGCCACCCCATTCCTAGAGCCCATTCCAGAGGGGAGCTGGGCAGGGACGAAGCTCCTCCAAATTCACTCCTTTCCACCTGCAAAAAGTGAAAGGATCTGAGCAAATCCTTTGCCAACAGTGCTATAAATTAATAGATAATTGGGAAAAGAGTTAATCCCAATGCTCCAGGGTGTCAGTCCCAGTCCCCAGGTTGTGCTGTACAGGAGCATTATCACTGTTCAGCTGCAGGATGCGTGCGCCTGCTCTGGACACAGAGATGCTGCTGCTGTGCTCTTCCAAAGGGAATGAAGCACCAGATGGATCTGCCATCTGAGCCCCTCCAGGAATGCTGGTGTTCTCAGCATGAGAGCAGAGGTTTTGTTTTAAACAGTTAAAGCAGAAAACAGTTTTCATGGCAATGTGCAGATTGAGGAGAGCTGCTCCCTCCCTCAATATTAGGTACAAGCTGCTTTTGAAGGGCTGGCTAATGACAAAGAACAGGATGCTCCAACTGAAAGAAGATGTACCCCCCAAAATGAGTTAATGTCATTCAATTAACTATATTTCTGTGTATCATTCAGGTACAGCATGTGAGCACCAGAGAGGGGAAAGAACACCCCAAGTCCTGCTACGTTGACATCTTCATAGAAATTCCTCTCGGGTACAAGCTTTGTGGGATATAATCCTTTAGGATGACTGACATGACACTCTTCACTGGAGGAGAACTGAGAGTCTTGGGACACAATCACACTGAGCTCTGAGGATTTTTACTTGCTATCTTTCTGCTACAACCAATAACAAAACCACAAGAGGAAACAGCCTCACGTTGTGCCAGGGGAGGTTTAGTGTTGTCAAGCATTGGAATAAGCTGCCCAGGGACATGGTGGAGTCACCGGTCCTGAAGGCGTTTAGAAGATGTGTAGATGTGCTTGGGAACATGGGTTAGTGGTGGACTTGGCAGTGCCAGGTTAATGGTTGGACTTCATGAACTTAAAGGTCTTTTCCAACCTTGTTGATTCTATGACAGCCATCACAATGAAAACTCAAACTCCTCATTCAGCACACCAAAAGGCAGGAGATGAGGAAATCACCGATTTTCACTGGTGACAAGCCCTGGCACGCTCTGTGGTGCTCCTTGCTGTCTAAACCCCACGCTACGTTTTGAGCTCATTCCGATTGCTGCAAGCAGCAAGCAAATAAGGGCAACCTTTTATCCTGGTCTCCTTTGGGAATGAGACTTGTGAGCTCATCCTGTTTATGTCAGGCTTCTGGAAGGGGTCACAAACAATCAAGAGATTCAAAGGAAGCCTGAAGTGTCTGTTGCCCACAGCAACAAACAAAGCCCCAGTGAGCAGAAACTCTTTTTCAAGTACACAAGAACTGCACTGGGGACTTCAGGCTTGCTAAGCGGGAGAGAAAAGACAACTGAATGACAAATTGCAAACACCCCAATCACATGGAAAACTCCAGAGAGGAGCTCAAAGCTTCTTGGACAGATAAGCCCAGGGTGAGAATATTAGTTCTCTGGGTAAGTGGAAAGAGCTGAAGAGTCCTGTCCGACCTAGGGCCCTGCTGCAAGGGTGGGGACAGGCTGGGCATGGCTGGGACTACTCACCTCTCACACACTCAGCCTTCAGTTTAACAAGGCTACTTTAACACCATGTGAACACACAGGGCAATAAAGCCCAGCACTAAGCAAGAAAAAGCCATCTCTGTCACAGAGAGAATAATGATTTCACTGGCTACATGCACTCAAATAACCCACAACATAACACCCACAATCAAAGGCAGGATCTCGCACACTCAAAAGCAAATCTTCCTCTATGTCTGTGGTCTTGACATGGTAATGAAGATTTGGGTGATGATAGCAGGCTTTCAAAGCCACATTACCCCAGCTTCTCAAAGCTAGCTTCACATGAAAATATTGGGCTTTAAACTATTGCAATGATTTATGTTGCAAACAAGTGTGGAAGTTAAGTCTACACCAGAACTCAGGTTCCCGCGAGGACATGTTAAGATACAAGATTACATTTTGTGATCTATGGCCTGGGTAAGGCTGCTAAATCATCTACATGTAATGAATAAAGGCATTGTTACACATTTTTATCTTTCTCTTCCATATTTTATTGTATTTATCACAAAGTTTCAAAGCCCAGAAAGCGCTGTGACATTCCTCACCTCCTTGTGGTGTTTCTCTCAGACGCTCATTGTTCATGTTCTCAAGGCCTGACAAACATCTACTCTGTCTGCTTTTGTGAGATCAGAGGGTTCAACAGATGAAAAAATATATTAATATATTAGTTACGAACCATTTGGTGAACTGGTGACAGAGCCAGGATTCCAGCCCTCTGCAATTCAAGCCCTGAGCTTATTGCTCTGAGCCACAGCTGCCAAGAGATCACATTTGTGCCTATCTCAGTTGTTGGAGTGCTCAAAGCTCCACTTACTGCTCCCCACACATGCAACAAACCCGGCATCCAGGAAACACAGCCCGGATAACCACAGCCCCTGACACAGCCTTGGAACAGGGACTCCTGCTGGGCTGGAGCTCCCACAGAGGCCGCCAGGGAAGGGCTGGTTCCTGCCTTCACCACAGGCTCTCTCTGCACGTCCTCCAGTGCTTACTTCAGACAGATCTGTCCTTTCCCTCTCCTCATCCTTTGTGTGTCAGGAAAACAAGAGCTTGTCTGAACAGATTTAGGGAAGAACGTGCCAAGTGAGAACCATGCTGTGGTGTAACCGAGGGGGGGCAGTGGTAACTCCATTTATCACCACAGCATTTGCAAGGCAGAGCAGAACCCACTTGTGTTTTTTTAACTGAAAGCCACACAATAAAAACTACAGTTAGAGGAAGTGAATTCAAGCATTTTCTATCAAATTTGATAGACCTTACCTGCTATACCTTGCTTGATCATTTCTGTGCTTATGAAAGGATAAAATAACCCCAACGTTCTGTTCCACACACCTGTAACTGCTGCTCTGTGTCACCAGTACCACTTACATCATAACCCTGCCGCACACCTTGGTCAATAGGAACAACAGCCTTAGTCCCCTACACGCAGCTGAGGAGCAACTTTACACATGAAGTTCCAAGGCTCAGTTCCAGTTCTACACTAAACCATGTTATTATCTAAACTACTTGGTTCAACAACGTAAATACTTAAGAGTAGCTATGACGTGACAAAACCATGTCATCTGTTACCACAGTAAAATACTACATTCTGATTCACCTCTCAGGGCTACCACAAAAGACCAGGATAATCCCAGCCTTGGGAATACTGTGGGAACATGAATTAAATCAATGCTTTTAAACCCATCAGATTAATCATACACTACACACAGTCTGTGGTATAGGGAAACCGAACACAACTGCTTTCTGGGTGGGGTTGGAGCAATGTTTCGAGCTTCAAGGTTTTAGTCAAGCACATTTCCTTAAGAGAGGATGTTAAAGAGGCAAATCTAGAAAAGAGTGGGTTTAACCACATCTTTTGCTGGGTTTCTTTTCTCAGTAGACCACAGAATCCTAGATTCCCACTTTGAGGTGTTCACCCCTACAACCACCCTCTTCTCATTTGGTAGAGTACAACCATCACTCAGTTTCCACTGAGAAGCAGTTCCCCAAGCCATGCTTTCCAGATTATAAGAGATCCCTGTCAACTGGCCACCCCCTCTCCTGCTCTTTCATGCTCACTGGCTGGGAGCAAGCTGAAGCATCAGCTCCAAATATAACACACGTTGTTTGTGGGAAAAAACATGAATACCATCAGGAGAAGAGATGAGCAGAAGAAGGACTCAGCTGAATTCATGGTGGGCTGCTCTGACCCACTATTCTAGCCCTTGCATGGTCGGACAACAGCACTATCCCTGTCTGATCCTCTGCTCAGTACACAGCAAAAGCAAAGCAGAAGATGCCCATGTGTTAAGAGTACAGCTATGTCATTACAGACACAGATTATGGGCTTCCTGCTCCAACTGGCTCAGCTCTTCCACCAGCTTGATGGCCCAAACAGGAGTTACAACACAAGGCAGCTTCCAAATGACTCTGCTTCTGTGCTTCTGCAAAGAAGGAGCCAGCCTGCAGTGAATCTCTGTACCACAACAGCAGATTTTTACCACCAGCAATTAGCAAGTGTGAACTTGAGGCTATTCCAGCTCCAGAGAAACAGTTCAGCACTCTCACCACTGGTTTACACCCACAGTGGGCAGTTAACATGAAGGAAGCCACAACAGTGCAGTCCTGCAGTGTCAAGTTCTTCTTGAACAACATAATGGCCTTACTAGAAGAAATAAGCATTTCTGACCAGCAAGGATAATGTAAAGTAACTCTGAGATTCACCAAAACTGAAGAGGGAGCCCCAGTTCAGACAAACATCTAGAATGAAAAGCTACTGCACAGAACAAGCACACTGAACTCATCAACTTCCTCTGATATTAAAGCCAACTGCATGGAACAAAGATGACTGCAGTATCAATTCCATACGTGTAACCCAAAATCTAGGTTTCTGAGGGTTTTTGCAAGGGCCTCCTGAAGGAGGTCAGATCCCATATCCAAAGACTACCTGAAGTGGTTCTACTTCATGTAGAAGCTGCATGTCTAAACCAGAAGCTCTTGAACATCTTAGGCTCAACCACAGAACAAAGTAAGTTAACAACTATGACACTCCTCATCTGCTCTTCTTACAGCTCTTTAGAAAAATCTCCTTGTCTTTCCTGAGCAAGAAGAGGGTGTGGAAGAGGGGAAGAACCTTTCTGCTTTGCTCTTCCATTCTAGGAGCACATCAAGTGACTTGAACTCTTCAAACTCCTAGAATAAGATTAAAATTGGATGCAAACGTTTCCTTCCTGGCAGTTTGTGTTTAGATTTTGGGATGATCCAAGAGTTATTTAAAAAGGTCACCGGATAATGAATTAAAAATTCCCAACATGATCATCGTCAATGCCACAAGCTCTAGCTGCTCATAACTAACTTGATAGCTTTATGTGGAGCAGAACTCCACATCCTCTGCCAGAGAGGACAGGCTTGTCTGTCTGTTGGATGGGTTAAACTAGACAGGTTATTTTGACTCCTGCACATCTACTGTGGTGCAGGAGGTGCAGAAAAACCCTCACAGCCCATACCCACGATTTGCCTGGAGCTTCCAGGCAGTTCAAATCACCAGAGTGTCAATAATACAGAAGAGATATGGTACAAAAATGCACAGTGGGAAGATCTAAATCTGGACAAGTACCAAATGCAAATGCCTGACTAAGCCCATGGGCAGCCCTAGCTCTCATCCCCATGACACAGTGATGCCACCCCAAGCTCCAGACTGCGCAGTAATGGGCTGTTTGCTTTGTCACATTGTGCCTGCCACACCACACGGCCCCGTGGGGCTGTGCTTTTGAGTCCATCTGGGGCTGGGAGAAGGCTTGAGTTTCTTTCAAACTCTCTGTGTTTCCATGTTGGTGATGTACAGTGCAATACGGGGCACCCAAAAGAGAAAAGAGACCAAGTTACACATCCAGTGAATGCCATGCCAAAGCAGAAGCCCAAGAGATGACAGCTACAACCACATCCTGAGCTTTGGCACCAGCATGGGACACAAGAAGACTGCAAGAGTGCCATGCATTCACCAGAGAATTTCACATGAAACCGTGTTAGAGGGAGCAGGAAGCATTAACCACCAAGGCAGTCCTGTCTGAGGAGTTAGAGTGCCCTAGTCCAAGGGATTAATCAGCATTCCCAGAGTCCAGAGGACTTGTTACCTCGTGACAGGCCTCCAGAGCACAGAAATACTTATCTCTAATGGGCTCACTGTAGGGGCATTAAGTCCAATTATGAGCTCCCAGGTCTTCAGACTAAGGGTATGGGAACACAAGTAAGCTACTCTGAGGAACTCAGGGTGCTCTTGAGTTTCAACCACTGTAAGGTGTTTCTACAGAAACCACCTGGGCAGATCCTTGTGCCAGTGTTAAGTGCTGAGCACCTTACTCACAGCAGCACAGGCTCTATACACTGGCAGCTCTGAAGGAGCAACTGACAGTAAGCACTACCATCAGTTTTTCCTCAACACAACATGGTTGCATGCTTCCATCCTGGCTAGGACTGCTGCAGAGCAGGAGCCACTGGCCAGGGGAATGGCTGGAGCCACCCACAGGAGGTGTGGGCAGCACTGGCTCAAATTAATTCCTGGGATTTGTGCCATGGGAAGACTTGAGGCTCAAGACAGGAGAACTCGGTGCAATGGGTCAACCAGCACTACAGCGCCACTAAATCCCCAACAGAAATAAGTCAAACCATGAAAGCTTCTGGAAAAGAAGTTAGGAATGAGCCTCTCCCATCCAGGAAAGCTCTGCCACCACCTTCAGTCTTCTGTGGGCCCTTTCACTCACCTTCCAATGGCTTCTGACACCGTGGTGAAACATGCAGAGAGGCCACTGTAACTAGATTGTATTCTTAATTCTTTTAATATCAAAGCATCCAGCCAGCAGATCATCATTACAGTTTTAGAAGCTGCACCACTACCTGTTAGTGAGCAGGCAGTTAATCCAGCTCCCCCCCAAAAGGCCAAACATGGTGATTCTCACACGTACATGACACACACATATCATGTCTAACCTGTGCCAGTAAGTGAGGCAGCAGCTTCCACTTGCACACTGCTAAATATGAGACTCAACAGCGCACTTGTTTGGATATATTAATAATGGAAAGGGGAAAAAAAAAATCTAACATAGGAACAAAAAGCAGAAATCATTTTGTTAAAGACTGGAGCTGGTATTGAACGTTTCAGGCACAAGCTACTGACTTACCCTGCAGCGACTTCCCCAATCCCTGGCCCAGCTTCCAGCCATGTTTCTGGAGTAAGCGGTGTCCAATATTATCCTGACAGACAGAACAGAGAAAACAAACCAAAAATATTCCAATAATAAATTCTTCCCTTCCCACTGACATTTAAACATGTGATGAGCAAGAGATTTTTCTACATATATATGCATGCAAAAAAAATGCTACTGAAAAGGCGCTAAATGCCCAAGAAAAGGGAAAGACAAATGTCAAAAACTGCTGGCTAGAATTGTTCTGGGGGCTAGGATTGGGAGGGTCACTTTCTGATGGTGTGCTGGGCAACTTTTGTGCATCATGTTTAACATAAAGGGAAAAATCAACTGAAATAAAAAAGCAATGTGGGAGGAAATCAAGTGTATCAATAAAAATTGACAGGAAAAGGCAGAAAATCCAGCTATTTATACAATCAGCTCCATCACCTAGACAGCACCACTTAAAGATTTATGTTTTTGTAAAGAAAATCTACAATGTGTTTAGTCATTTTGTTTGTGTGTCAGGCTTTGAGAATACTGAGTAAGTTGTAAGTGCAAGACTGCCCCACCACTAGAAACCAAAACACAATCAGAGCAAAATCCAGGCTAGACTTGATTGGGGTTTTATATATGTATATATATATATATAAACTAGCATGCAGCCAATATTAAACTGAAAAAACAGTGAGGTTAGTAAAACAAAAAAAAAACAAAATCCATCAAATAAAATGAGCTCAAGCACAGACTGGGTGATGCATTTCACATGTAAACTAACAAAAATACTAAGATGTTAGAATGAAACAGGCCTAGCAATAAGTTAACAGCAAGGAACCATTAGTGCATGTAGGGGAAACAATAAGCATAATGTCTCATCTTCTGGAAAAAAAAAAAAAAAAAAAAGGGAGAGGGAAAAAAAAAAAAAAGAAAAAGGCTATTTTGGACTGAATAGAAAGTCCTCACGCAGCAATTCAGTGTCAGCTTTGGAACAGGGGCTGAGCAGGGCTCCGAGGGGAACTGATGTGGGATTGGGCAACATTTCCTCCCTCAAAGAAGGGCCACAAGTGCTACCAGCATGCTTGTCACCATCCACAGCTGATGTCCCTCAGCCATCAGTTTAGTAGCAGTGACCAACTGCCAGCTCCAAAAGAAGGACTCTGGGCTGGGACTGTGTCCAACTTCTCATGATAAGAATCAGATATGGATTTGTTGGTACTTAAGCGTCCAAAGGAACCACAACTCAAGATATCCCTGAAATATCCTGAGTTCTAGCAGGCTGCGAGTCCATCGAATTGACTGGGACATGGGATCTTAAATCAAAATGAATTAATAGATTAGATGTTGCATGTTGCTTTAACTAAATAACCAAGTTGTCCACAGCAATGGAACAGCAGTGGAGTTTGCACTCCCTCCACATGGAAGAAATCTGGTCCATCACATTGACAGACACAATCTTCCCAAAGATATTGGCTGTATGGATATGTTTTGCCTCAGAAAAATTGGATCAAGTATAAGTTTCATTTTGTTTAATGCTATGCCAGAAAAGTAAGACACTGTGTCTCGCTGTTTGTCAAGCATACATCTCTCCCACACTACCAGTCCTCCCCCAGGACAGAGTTAGGGCTACATGGAAAGAAAAATTAAAAGAGAAGTAAGGAAATGTCTGGGTCTAAAAGCTTAAATCAGTATATTCAAAAAAGGGAAAATGAGCAAATATGGATTCTAACCACAAACATCATGGAGCATTTTGGAAGCAGAGGAAAACTTACCTGGGAGCACATGCGCTGCAGACTGTCCCCACCAGCCACAGAGGCTGCAGGGTCAGGCAATGGGGCTGAGGCTGAAAGGGTTGTGGGCGACACTGATTGTGCTACCATTAGTCAGCTCGCCTGGCACAGGGTTATTGGCTCTGGTTTGGAAAGCTGGTGCTGACAAAAATGGCTGCGCTTTCCCCACGGAAAACCAAAAACTAGGCCAAGGAAGACTTGCAATCTTTTGCTAAGTGGAGATGAGACATTGTGCTGACTGTGTTGTGTTATGAATGCACTAAAATAAAGACAGATGAAGCAGTATGCTATTTCCAAAAGCAGTGCAAGTGGAGTGAAAGCATTTCCATACGAACCTGGCTTTAAAAACTGGGCTGTCAAAAGAACAGTTAAATGTAACACAAAGTAAGAAACTGTCCAATCACTAATGGTAGGTTTTTTTTCTTTTGCTTTGTTTTCAATTCACTGCTTGCAAGTAATGTATTTATTAAAGAAGAGTGAAAAGCATAAAAGAAACTCAACAAGTCAAGACCAGCTGGGAGATTCAAGAGCGGCATGTTGTGACTGACACAGTGACGGGGAAAACAAATGTTAAAGGGGAAAAAAAAAGGAAAATTTAGAAGGGTTATACACATTAGCACCACTTTTACAAACCCACTCAAGAGGATGGCCACAAGTTGCATGACAGGAATTGGAACTGCACTTGATGATCCTGGCTCAGTTCCCAGGAAGGGTTTTTTTCCCCCGCCTCCCCAGTCAATTCCATTTGTTTGTCTAAGCAGTGACTTTTCCTAAATTCAGTAAACTTCCTAATTTGAAATAGGACTGGACTGAAATGGAGCATCTTCTGGTTCACTAAATAACAAGAACAGCCCCAGGAGTTTAATGTTAACATCTGAGTTGAGACCTAGTCATTACCCCGCTCATTTCTAGTGGTGTTCAACCTTCTTCCTCCACTCCAAATGCCTAGCACAGACCTTGCAGCCAGGCAGAGCCTCAGAACTGCTCTGCAGTGTAAATGCTGCCCTAAAAAATAAGTGATGGAAGGCCAGGCTTGCTGGGCTCCCACATGAGAGCCACTCCACAAGCCATGGGGCAGCAAGTATTGCTTTAGTAAGTGAACTTTCTGTAAAAGTGTGGCCTCTTTCACATAGGAAATGTCTTTTTTTGCACCAAATTTCCCATCCATGTCAAGAATGGTCACTGTTTTGGACTAAACTATCCCCACTTCACACCAATTTGCTTATGGGCAGAGTTGTAGCTATCTACAAAGATGCCAACAGCCACACAAGGAAATCCTTTGCTTCCCAGACTGGTACCAGGCTCCTCACTTCCTTACACTGTTGTTTTGGAGCTCCTGGGGCTACAGCCATCATCAGACTTACTGAGGCAGCCAAAACAAGTCCCCCAGTAGGTGGAGTGAGCAGGTGAGCTCCTATTTACCATCCGAAGTACTCATCCTGGCCTTGAACACTGCCAGGGATGGGGCAGCCACAGCTTCTCTGGGCACCCTGTGCCACCACCTCAGCACCCTCACAGGGAAGAGCTTCTGCCTAAGAGCTCATCTCAGTCTCCCCTTTGGCAGGTTAAAGCCATTCCCCTTGGGCTGTCCCTATAGGCCCCAGTCCAAAGCCCCTCTCCAGGTTTCCTGGAGCCCCTTTAGGCACTGGAACTGCTCTAAGCTCTCCCCTTCAGAAGCCTTCTCTTCTCCAGGCTGAACTGGCCCAGTGCTCTGAAAAAAAAAAAAAAAAATCTGCCTACAATGGAAAGACGTGTGCAAGAACTGGAAGGTTCTGATGATGTTGTAGAGTGGGATAGAACCCACAGTCAATGGACTAAGCTGTGTTACAGCTAAACCAAAACACCAGTTTTGCCTGATCCAGGTTTTCCGTGGGATTCCCTTGTCACTCACATGTTGTGTTCACACTGTTCATCTCAACACTGCAGGGCCATGCATCTCTTGAGTGGATTGTAAGCTGTGCTGACTGTGTATTGAGGAATCTATAAGCAAGGATCAGATGCTACTGGGTGAACCCATGCAAACAAGAGGTTGAAAAGATTCCCAAAACAAAACCTATAGCTCACTACAGATGACACAATGAAGACTAGAGAGAAAAGCCAAATAGTAATGCTACACCATTCAGCTTCAAGAAGCACAGTATTTATAGCGCTGTCCACATATGGCTACTGCTAAATGTCAAATCAGCAGCCTCATCAAATGACACTTTGGAACTAGTGGAGTCCACAGATCTGTACAGATATACAGTGCAACAAACCCAGCTTCAACTCGTACAGTCATCTACAACAGCCTGTGAGCATCAAAGTACTACGTCCTGAAACCTGGGGCAGCTCAAGCTCCTCCCTGTGTAACTGAGCAGGATGGGGGGGGGGGGGAAGTTGTTTGTTAGTTATGACAAAAACAAACTAACAAGCTCCAGAGTAAGTGGGTGATTCGCAATCTGGCCTCCAACCTGCACTGGTGACAGCTTGGGCGGCCCCCTGCCACTGCACACTGCCTGCATGGGGATGGGCTGCTCTAAGGGAGAGCTGCTCTCTCCTGCTCGAGCTGTACTGCTGGGACAGAAAACCAGGCACTCACAGCAACAAGGTTCAATAACAAGTATAAATCAGGAATTAACATGAAGAAAATCTGGTTTCCCTTAAAGCTGCAATAGTTTGTGACTTCCCACTCAGGCTCAGTGCACTTCAAATACTTTAAAACAGATGCATGCAGCTTCTTGAATTTGAAAAGGGTTCAGTGCTCTGATGTGCCAAGGCCACTAGTGGCTCCGCTGATGTGAAAAGCCAGTGGGAGCGCAGCATCTTCAAACCAGAACAAAAAATGGTTATTGGGAGTGGGGGGAATATCAGTATTTGCAGCTGTGAAGAGCCCATTGATAGGAAATATGTTCTTCAATTTAGTATTGGCAAATAGCTGGCTTCTGGTCTGGGCTATGCACACCCACTACCTCCTGTCAGCTCTGTTTTCCGTGTACTTTGGTTCTATCGCATGTTTCAGTCCAGCCATCTTTGGCCTAAACAAGCTGTCCAAAGCAGGATTTCCACAGGAACACCACCACTAGAACACTAACTGAGGACATGTTTCAACATTGTAATGATCTGTAGACTCCCAAACCTATTTTTCCAGCCACCTTTGAGTTGCATGCTGTAGCAGTACAGTCAGCACCTCTCAATAGATAATGCTGCAGAGATGGACCTCACTTCAGTGGTGATTGTCAAGTGTAGGCTCCGAGTGACACCCTCTGCCCCCGGGATTTCCAGATGCAAGCTACCTTTAGTCTTGAAAGCATTTCCATGTGACTAAGATGTGAGAAGCTGCAAGAAGCACATTTAGAATATGCTTAATCCACTCTCAGCCTGCAGGATAACCAAACTTTAAACTTTTAACTGGGAAGCACTTTCATCTGCCATTGTTATAAACACCCTCCCTCGCACAAAGACATTTGTCATCCAAACTATTTCCATAATGTGAAGCACAGGCTCTTACTCATTCCTCCGAGTAGATTCCTTTTTAAAGGTCAGCTGAATTGCTAACAGAGAACTGGGTAAGGATTATAAAACAATTTGGTAATATTGCAAATATTTAGATGTGTGGTATTTGCAAATTACAGACTTGCCCTTACTCCTTCCCTCTCTTTGCAGCTCAAGCATGTCACCCACTTGGGGGGGGGAGCAAACAGCAAAAAATACAAGGCAGAAAAAGCAGCACAAACACTGTTTTCCTGGTGCAAAAACTTGCAGAAGGGGTGCACCCCTGAGCTCTGACATGAAACCCCTTATGCTAATGTGTGCCATTTGTCCATTCTAAAAGCATGTCGGTCATGAACAGCGTGGAAGCAAAATTGTTTTCACAGTGTTAGGAAACGTGACAAAGTAACTTGTGCTTCCAGCTACAGAATCAAAAATCTATTTAGTGAAGACCATATGAAGATTAAACTTCGAAGTGACCAGGTTGTGTCTGCCTGCAGTTTGACACTGGGCTGTTCATGAGACCAAAAACCTCCTTGTGCAGCAGTCACAGCTTTTCAGCTGCGGGAATAGCACACAAAGCCAGCACAAGTGTGCTCCAACATGGAGCACAGCTGCTGTGACAAGGCAGAACATACATTTACTCAGTTCTGCAGCTCTTTCCGAGAGCTTCATGTCCTGAAAAACTTCACACAAAAGAAGAGTAGAAAAAAAATGGATTTACAGTAAGACCAATTTAAGGTTTTAACTCTTTCTCCTGGCAAGCTTGTCCTCCCCACCCAAACTGCTCTCACATGGAACCCTTAGGCTGAACTATACATATTAAATCTACCAAAAACTTGTAAAGATTAATAATGTCCTGACAGTTGAATGGTGAGATATATATTAATAAAATATTAAAGCCTTCACTGAATTTAATTCTTGAGCTGCAGTTCAACATTAATCAAGCTGCAACCAATGCCACACCTGCGGATTCTGTGTGGGTAATGTTTTACATACAGTCGTGGGCATCTCGCTCTTCAAATCACCAGAGAGATGGAACCTGGGACGTCTTCTACGCCTCTGGGAAAACACTGTTAGAAATCATTCAGTCTGGACATTTCTGAATGACTTTGAAATGCTCATTCCAGGGAGTGGGCTCCAAACTAGCGTTTCCCATTATCTTTACACAAGGAAACAAGCTTGCCATTTTAATGAAAATCCCCATATCACAAGGTTAAGATTGAAGTATTCAGGAGAACACTGAATACAAATTCCCATCTCTGCAGCATTATCTCATGCGTCATCAATTACTGCCATGCCTAGATCTAGCATCATGCCAGCACATTTAGACAGTAGGTACTATATGCAGTGTTCACTGGACCAGAAGAACAGAAATAAGAAGGGGGGGAAAGGAAACCCTAGAGAAGAAATTAAAAAGGCAGACCGTGCAATACAAACCAGATCATGGCTGCTTAGCTAATATGGGCCAACTGCTGCGGAAGAAAAACGTCGAACACCCCAAGTTGTGTAAGTTTTTTTTTGGTAAACATCTAACACGCACACAAACACACACAACACCAACCTACACACAAATGAAAAGCATCTATCCACCTTTAGCTAAAGCTAAGTTTCTTCTAAGTGCGGGCTAATGTGAAGAAACTTAAACAGAGAACTTCAATTATTAACAGAGAAAAGAAACACTTCATACTTTCTTAACATAAATCAAGTCTTAAGCAGGACACCACTAAGTGACCCTCGAGTATTCACTGTGAGTTTTCTTGCTCTCATATTGAAACTGCAAATGAAACTTGGCTTGAGCTAAGTGCCAAACTTAGGTCCAGTTTAGGCTGAACAAGCTACTGTGCCTAAGACTGCAGAGGGTGCTTTGCAAAGAGAGAAATTAAAAAGCTTAAAAAGGTAAGACTAAAGAGAACTTTGGTTTTCCCAATCTTATGGCTGTGCTCTCCACACCTCCAAGTGGTACTTTACAGAAACTCTGGAGCAGTTTCAGACTCGTGGGGAAGGACCACTACAGCTCCACTGCTGTGCACCCATGCTTCCATCCTGCAGGTGACATTCTAACACTTGAACACACCAGTTTCCCAAAAATAGAAACTAAAAGGGGATCAAACTACATTTTGCTACACTGCTCTATCAGGTTCACTTACAAACTGAAATGATTCTTCAAAGCAAAGTATAAAAACTTAAAAGAAATCTCTATGAATGTATGCGTTATTTTAAATAACTTCCAATACTGTGTTGAACTAAAATTTAGTCACCTATAGTTTTATGAGAACTACTTAAAGATTAAATCCCAGGCCCACTGCAGCTCTGCATGCAATTTACCACACACAGTTAACCCTGTACTGCCAGACAGATGCCCACACCTATCCCATTTGACTGCATTCACATCAAGTACCATCCGATCACTGCCTAACTGCTGGTGGTTGCTGATGTTGTAAGTCTGTGTCTTACCGATTCGATCGGCTTGTCCAGGGATGCCTGCTCTATCTCCAGGTGCCCTTCTTCATACTGGTCAAAGTGGTTGCCCTGAAACAGAACAGGAGGGTTAGATCTACAGTAGAGAACACACTTCCAACAGTCTCGTCTCAAGATTCATGTTTGCATATGGTCAGATTTATATAACACTATATACATATCATTTTGCTAATGAATGAACATGTTAAATACAGCCAAATCCAGCATATAGGCTATAAGAAAAAGAAATATTCTAAAAACTAAGCCAATTTGATGATAATCATAACATGGAATTCGGCAAAATATCAAGCACTTAGAATGACAATCCTTTCGGCTTTTTTAGTCTATGAAGTCTATGCAAACACTGACCATAAACACCAGCGCCAACCTTAAAAGCACACAGGACAAGAAGCAGAAGGAATTGACCCCACCACCACTACAAAGAAGTTTCTTGTTGTCTTTTCTCCTCTAAAGAGGACCAAGGCTATTCTTGCAGCCTCAAATGCAAACTGTTTGAGGCATACCTGTAATTTCACACACCTTAAACCAACAAAACCCCAGAGTGGTACCAAACAAAACCTCTGCCAGTGCCCACAGCACTTGTTTATGGTCTGGAACAGCCCTTTCCTTGATTCTAGGCAGCAAACCATGAGTGGAAGTGATGCTCCAGCACACACAAAGCTGTTAGTTTACACCCCAGGCAGGTGACCCCAAGACCACCCAAGCATGAACACTGACACAGGGAATACCAGCATGCACACTCAGAACTGCTCATTCCTCATGTTCCAGCTTCAAGCATTTGTGAGCACCTAAAACTGCTACACCACAAATAACAGGACTGAGGAACACATTTGAGGAAAGAGAGATGGATCAAGAGGCACACAGGGTGTGCTGATACAAGTGCAAGTGTACTAATAGTAGGCAGACGCTCACATAGTGAGTGCTACAAACAATGACAAATGCAGGCCAGGCTGGATGGGGCTTGGAGCAGCCTGCTCCAGTGGAAGGTGTCCCTGCCCATGACAGGGGGTTGGGACTGGATGAAATTCAAGGTCCCTTCCAACCCAAACCATTCCAAGATTCTATGAAATCCAAGCACCTTGCTTCCTTACACTCTTGGAGCCGCTCCATCAAACATCTTTAGTTCTATAGACTGGCCATGTCTAATAATTGCAGCGGATGGGAAGATCCATAAGGACTAGACCGATGAGTTTTGAACAGGGAAACCTCTGCCCACTCCAACAGTGTAACACTGCCAGCAGCGGCGGGAGCAGAGCCTGGAGTTGAGCGATCCTTTGCTATGGCAAAATCTCACCTTTCCATGCTCTTGCTCGGACATTAAACACAGAGGGCTCATGAGCCAGGAAGGCAAATGCCAGCCTCTGCCCTCCAGAAGAACCACTGGGGCTGGAACACCATCAGTGGGAATGGTCATTTCAGGAAAAGATAACATCCCTGTTGTAGCTGTGTTGTCATTTCAGAGGTTTCTGGAACCTCACATTCCTAGAACTGCAATGGCGGTGAACCGTTTCTGGCTGTGATGCAGCTCTAACATCCACCACAGACCTGGAAAGCTGTGAACTCAAGAGCAAGCAGGGGAGCTCCTGCAGCTCCACAAGCCCTTTCAAGGGGTGACCTCGTGGGCTCTCCTGTGTCCCGTGGGCGCTGCTCGGTGTCACAGCCCTACAGAACCCTGGGAAGTGCCACGGCCTTGGCTGCTGACCCCATTCCGCTCCTTCTGGCTGCTCCATATGCACCAAGCACCTGGCAGATTTCCTTTGCATCCCGGCTCTGCAAGCACTTAGAGCAGGAACATACAGCACCACTGCCAAGAGAAACATGTTGTCACCCTCCTCACTTCTACCAACACCAACTCCTTCTACAAGAATTTTAATGAAAGCCAGCATGTGAAAGAGCAAATTCCAGCTGTAAGGCGCTGCCTGCTGGAACTCTACAGGCCAGACATCAGCCTCCAAAAATCCTCTGGAACAAGTGTTTGTATCCAGTGATGCGAATCTGCAAGAGCCCATCCTGACAAAAACCTGTTGCCAAGAGAACATGCTTCACTGCTGGTGCACCAGCACCAGCCTGTCCATCACCCACAGCAGTAAATCCACCCAGGCCGCACTCTTCTCCCAGAGGCTTCTTTCCCACGGCCTCTTCAGAGCAAGCCTGGGGCTTAATCCGCAGGTAGCAATCCACTCCCATCCACTGTTTCTGGACAGCCTTCAAGGAGCAAGCCGAAGGCAAACTTGCCATGCACATGCAGTTGAGCTGCTCAAAAAAGGCATCGATTCTTGGAGCCAGGCAGAGTGCTGATGGACAGGCTGGATGTGTGTGTGCTGGAAGTCAGGGAGCACAGGAGGGAGAAGACAAGGGAAAACCTGCCCCAAAGGCAGGAGGACATGGCCCAGCCTCCCAAAATGCAGTGCTCAAGAGAACAAAAGCAGTCAAGAGCACACATGCTGCTGAATGCAGCAAAACCATCTCAATAAAACTTCATATATATTAAAAAATAATAAATAAACCCACATGAAACCTTCCAGTGCCTAAAGGGACCAATAAGAAAGCTGGAGAGGGACTCTTTGTCAGGGCCTGTAGGGACAGGCCAAGGGGAATGGCTTTAACCTGCCAGAGGGGAGACTGAGATGAGCTCTTAGGCAGAAGTTGCTCACTGTGAGGGTGCTGAGGGGCTGGCATAGGGTGCCCAGAGAAGCTGTGGCTGCCCCATCCCTGGCAGTGTTCAAGGCCAGGTTGGACACAGGGGCTTGGAGCAAGCTGCTCTAATGGAAGGTGTCCCTGCTCATGGCAGAAGGCTGGGACTGGATGAGCTTTAAGGTCCCTTCCAACCCAAACCAGTCTGTGGTTCTATGATAACATTTAGTTAACACACACTGGAAACACCCTCAGCAAAACTAAAGCTATGCTTCCTCCCCTGCCCCCCAATTTCACAACATGATTCGCTGCCTGCAGATAGCTCCGAATATGCCAACTGAGTTACCTGGAACTGGCAAAATACTTCTACCTCCTCACTGTCTCCTCCAGCATACTGCCTGCCAAGGCATTTGAAACTGCTTTTACAAAGGCCAGGGTCAGTTCCAGTTTGAAAGCTTTGATTTTGAATTTGCTTTGCTTTGCTGAGGTGAGGCTTTACAACTCCATTTTGCTGTGCTTAAAACCAACTCCCCCTCCCAGAAACCACAAAGGGACTCTGAGCACTCACTGTGCCAGAGTCAGGAAGTGAGTCAAGCCACCTACCCAGGTTCCAGTGATCCCACTGTTATCCACCTAACATATTCTGGGGGTTACTTTATGTATGTATATACTTTGGGGGTTATTACCTACTTTATATCTACTTCGGGGGTTTGCTGTTAGTAAGGGGAGTGGGGATGGGTTACTGGTTTTTCCAAACAGCAGCAATACCAATACTAGAGGTTTTAGGAGAGGCAGAGTGCTTCCCATCACCCTGAACCCCAGGATACACCAAAGCAATGGGATGCTCATGAGCTCACTCACTGTACAGGGACTGACTGTTCCAGGCTTGGTCATTTCAGGCAGAATAACAAAGTGCCCAAACTGAACTGAAATCAATACTCACCACCCATACTGCACTTCAGTTATCAATACTTAAAACAAATGATAAAGGAAAAACTGCCCTTCCACCATCAAGGAGCTGCCATGGAAAAGAGCCAGCAGACAATTCAGCAGCACCCTGAGGTCAGGTTTATGAGCCTGTTCAGCATGATGGCACCTAAAGCAGGGGAAAATGGTTCTCACTTCTAGGGCCACGGCAAACAGCTTAAGATGCTGCTGCCTGTAACCACAGGGCTCCCAGAAGAGGGACTTCAGGCAGCCCAGCTTCCTCACCCCTGGAGCTTGCCAAGGAGTGAGTTGGGGGAAATTTCATCTGGCTTCCTTCTTTTCCAGTCCTTCAACCTGGCCCATCGAATGGATCCATTTCTGTTTTGCTGAATCTTAAGCCAATGGATCAGAGGAAGACAAAGTACTGAATGTAACATTTAAATCTAACAATTCATTAAATCCTAGATGTTGAATCTGTTGAGAATAAATTACACTTCTGTGGAACTCGAGCCATAAGCACAGACCACATTTTAATAGGATTTTAATCCGCATCTTCTGCAGACTCCAAGTGATGTTTTGCTCTTCAGAGGAAACCTCTGGGTGAAAAAAAAGAGTTAAATCCCTACAAAACTGATACCAAGCCATAAAATAACAGCTGTGTTAAACGCAGCACTAACCAAAACCTATTTCCAAACCTTCTTCCCCATGACTATTACAGAGACACAGTAAAACCCTGGCCCTGCTACCTAATGACAGTTTCCTCCTACTGCTACAGACCAGGATTTCAGGATTGAACAAAGCACCTTTCTCCCAGCCATCCTCTGCCCCTCCATTTCCAAGCTGCCTGCATCAGGCTTTCTCACTTCTGCTTTGTAAAACAAGAAGTGTTGCACTACCCATATCACTTTCTTACAGATGCCACCTCCATCCTAGAATAATAGAGCAAATAAGATGAGAGGCTTCCTTTCACTTGAGCATCATGTAGTGCCATCACTCAGTGCGACAGCAAGTGCTCCAGCGCTGGGTGCTTCATGACAAAAGTCAATATATTTTACTACTCAGATGAGAAGCAAGGACAAGCCTTCACCATCCAAACACTCCCTATCCACCGTTTCCTTGCTGCATTCACCACCAGGAGCCAACTGTCTGCATCCTGTAATTGTTTTTATGTAAAATCAGCTGAGCTTTGGCTAAGTACCCATTCTGGTTACTCACAGTCACATGCCTTCTCCTCTCTCCTCCACTTTCCCACTGCTAGATCTTTGCATGAAGCTCTTTGCCAAACCTTAAGTCTTGGAGCCCTCACACGTTTAACCAGGGTTTTAAACACAGCATGTGAAAACTAACAAAAGCTGCCTCCGTGCAGGGCTTCAGACCTTCTTCTCCCTTACTTGGGTTGTAAATACTTCAGAGCTCTGGCCCAACAAATGCCATTTGGTCCAAGTGGAGTCAATGCATTTTCTGAAGTAATTCATACTAAATAGGCAAGG